CATTAACACTATTCGTATAATAGGAGGCACCACCTTCTCAATAGAAAGAACATTTTCTTTTCATCTTAAATCAGTCTGACATGCTTCACAAATTCACGGAATTCTCATTTGTACTGAATTACTTGAAGAAACATTCAAACAGCTATGTTAACTATGTATGGCTATTTATTGAATATAAACCCAAAAACAGGAAAGGATGGTGATTATTGGAGCATAGGATAACAACATTTAGACAGACAAAATGGAGGAAAATTGAGAAATAAGACAAAACTTGATTTTAGTTATTGTTGAAGATTTTGGGAGAAATTTTACCTCTAGCTGTGGATGGTCTTGACACCACTGTACTTTCCGAAAGGGAGAAGAGATGGTGGACCTTACTTTGTTGACACAAAGCTGACTGGTTCTCTTTCAGGTCCGCTTTCTCTGGGCTTTGGTGGTCAGCCAAAGCCGGAAGACTTCTTCAGTGTGTCTGGCAAGTTGTATAAATGGGACCTATTCTATTTTCCAAATAAACCACCTCACTGGGGTGGATCATCACGGCTTCTCATCTCACTGCTTTGCTGATGATACCCAGCTCTACCTGTCATTCCCACCTGACGACCACACAGTCTCAGGACCTATTTCAGACTGTCTCTCTGACATATCAAAATGGACAAAAGCCCATCATGTTCAACTAAATCTCTTGTAAAACTGAACTGTTTTTTTCCCCATCCAAACCATCCTTACTCTTTCTTTTTGTGAATCGTGGTGGAAATTTAAAGTGAGACACAAATGCTTCGTTAGGGGAAAAACATGACAACCTTCCAAAAATAGACCATTGCAAAGTGAGTGTACCATGTACAGAGGTGCTCTGCCTATACAAAAATTGTAATATCATTTATAACCTTTCCCTGTGGGGGCTAGAAGAGAGGTGAACTCTCTGACCTAGTTGCTGACTGGTGGGGTGGGTTTCATGGGTGTTCTGACATGGTGCTGTTAAATCTAGTTTGTTGTATCCCAGTACAGCAGAGAACAATGCATCTTAAGTATACATACATGTCATAACTCTTATTTAAACAACTATGTATTGGAACATTCTCTTCTACAAATGTACAGTAGCTAGAAAGTTGGGTGTCATGAATAATGAACAGCTGACCTTTAAACATAATGTTGCCTCCGTCGCTTGCTTGTGTTGCTTGTCATTAGTAGACATAAGAAAGATCAGGCCAAACCTAACCCAACATGCCACCCAGCTTCTTGTACAGTTTATGGTCATCTCCCACCTTGACTACTGCAATGCTTTCCTAAACGATGGCATTTGTGGTTTTCAATAAGCCCAGAAAATCCCACATTACCTGCCTGTACCTTGGGCTCTACTGTCTACCCTTATCCACGCGCATGAAGACCAGACGCGCCACCACTTTCTGAACCATCTGCCGAGGTTTTACAGTACAGGCTGGGAAACATATTAGACCAAATGAAAGTTGGGATAGGCTTCATATCCACTGCAACCCTGTTGGAATGAGCAGGCATAATAAATGGATGGATGGCAAGATTTGAAAAATCAATTCTTTTACATTATGAAACTTAACATTGATGACATTGTTAAAACTGCATGGAGTAGGAACAAAGTATCTATCATCATTTTTTAGATATTTAGATATCCATGTGTTATTGCAATGTAAATTTAGCTTTTTCTTCTTTTATGCCATTATGACATGGTGTAAGAGACACTATGTTGCATTACAAATGAACAAGCAGTGTGTGCCTTCTACTGCACTCATGCTAACTCTTCATTATTATGTTTGTGCTTCCACTGATAGCCTTCAGAGATGCTGTCATCTGTGGTATGACTCCATTCAAGACAGATTGTGAGATACCGATGCAGTGTGCAGAACTCATTGGCTGACAGTGCTCTTGTCTTCTACAGTAACCATTTCCTGTGATGAATCAGGCTGTAGGATTTTGATTTCCTGTTCCTTGGGAGTTCTTGTATCTGAGGAATGGGCAATGTCAGATGATAGTACTGCTCCTTCTTCCTGCAAGTGAAAATCTGCTGTCTGTCTACAACAGTGGTTGATGCAATGCAAAATGAAACAAAAGATGAAAAAATTAAATTCAGTTAATGAAGAATTCCTGCCGTTGGTAGATAGGCAAGGCATACCCTGAAAAGGGCAACAGTCCATCCCAGGGCCACTAAAACTAACATACACATACAATAACATTCACTCCTACAAGCAATTTGTGATCACCAGTTGACCTCAAATGCATCTTTTTGGGTGGTGGCAGGACGCAAGACTACCTGTATAGAACCCACACGCCCAGAACGCCACGCAGAAAGGCCCCAAGGGATTCAAACCAGCAACTATTAAACTTAATATTTTGAATGTCCTCCTGTAGTCTTGAACATCTTGTTCATCTGCTTCAGTTAAGTTCAGTTTAGTTTATTGCCCCGTTAGCAAATACAGGGATTGGACAATGAAACTGAAAACATCTTTTTAAAAATAATTTTTACAGAATTATAGAACAATCTACCATTTTTTCTTTATTTTTTAAATAAGAAAACTTTGAAGATGCTGCAATATAATGAAGAAAAGAGCAATGAGTAAATAAAGTATCCTAAGAAAAGAGGGAGTGTGAGAGTCTTTCTCTAGGAGGAAAGAGCCAGGACTTGACATCAACCGCATTAATTAGTGTTTATTGTCATGATAAGCAGAGGTTATATTGACCCTGCACATGATAAATAACCTAATTTCGGTGCACAAGAATGTGTAAAATACACGCTTAGTTAAATATTTAATCCGGCCCTGCACGTCCAAAATAATGCCTCACTAACTTGTGTGTATACTATCTTCACTTTCAATTTTTCACCAACACAAAGCCTTACCAGAATCCCCCTTGACGTGTTTCCAGTGACTAACGATTTTTTGTTTACCTTCTGTACCAGCAGATGGCGCCATAATAAGTCCCATACACGACGCTGGCACGTTCTTATTCTCCTTTTGTGTAAAATCTTTTTTTCTTGTCAATATGTACATATACAAGACCATAGGCATTTACACATGTTAATTTTAGCACTAACTTTGAGCATATATTGTCAGTTTTTGTCCCTTGTGTTTTTAAGGTTAATTGAAACTGAAAAAAGTATGGCTTTGTGTCAGGTCATTTTAATGTGGATATCACCTTCAGAGGCTCAATATATCATTGTCAAGTATACAGTTACGAGGAGGAAAAAAACAGAACACTTCTTGGGTATAAACACACATACATGCATACACCCTGTCTGAAACACATCTCCTTGGCAAATGCATCTGATATGCTCTGGAGTATGGCAACCCTGTTCTTCAAAAGAAAAAAGAAAACTTTTTGTAAGCATAAAGGTCCGTTGAGAAAATCTGTGCTAATTTTTTGTTTTAAAATAGTCACCTTTTCATTGCTTTCATACTCACACAAAATCAAAACACCATGTTTTCTAGGCCTATTTGACACTAATTATGCTTAAAGACTCAGTGTGGGTGTCTTTGCTGGTTTCTTGGCAATTTCAACTTTACCACTACGTTACCACTGCTATGTCAGGAAATGGGACAGTGACATGAAATCTAAAAACAAATGTAATTCATGTCTTTGGGTTTGTTTGTGTTTTAATGAATGAAAGTCACTGTCAAGGAGTATAATTTAATTTTGGTCTAACTTATTCAGAAAAACATTTTGGCTCTTTCCGATGTTACATTAGTAGTTTCTTTACTTTTTCCAAGTCTAAATAATTCTAAATTTGCTTTTTTCAGCTCTTCTCTGAGGTTAGATGAAGCTTGATGATGCACACAGTGACAGGTTTGATGGTATCTGGTATGATTTCAGGGGTTATTTGGAAACTCTTTGAGAATGAATAGAACAGAAATATTCAGTCAGAAAGTCAGTCGGACCATTTTCTTCTTTAAATTTGGAGGAAGTGAAAGGAAACTATGATTGTCTCACATAACTTTATTTGAGTGAGACTTAAATAAAGTTCCTGGATTAAAAAGTTGTAGTCAATCATCCACTCATCTTGTCACTGGAACGCATTGCTCAGGCTATTGCCTCATGGAGGGTCATAGTGCTAATCCCACGCAGGTTTGTACTTATTTACTAAGCATCTACACTCTGTAATCAGCCTCTACAGTCTTCACTCTGAGTGCCCTTTTTTCAGGAAGTGAGACAAAGGAATTTTTTGGGGCTGCCTGCTGTGATTCACTCACACGTATACACAGTTGGTTCATTGTAATTTGGCACATTATTTCTGGCTGTGTGAGACGTCTGAACATGATGACTGGAAGGAGTGCTGGAGCTGGAGGACAGTCCGGTGGAAGCAGGGGGAGAGAAGACCCCCACCTACTAAATGTCTATTTGAACTTATCCTTGCTACCCTTTTATTTAGAACTTTGAAAGACTTTTTGGGAGATTGCCACACAGTGTTCGATCATCAAATTAAAGAAGGCCATAATCAAGTTGGTTTGCAATGACATTCTTTGCAGAGACACAGAAAGTTGTTGCTCAGTCAGGCCAATTTCATAGCCACTGGGGTTTATAACAAAACATACATGTACAAGTGGAAAACATACATGAGTCGAGCTCATATTTAGATGGATTCAGTTTTTCGTGTATTTTTTTCCTTTTTCTTTTTGTGGGCATAACTGAGACCTGAGTTTTCCCGGAGCAAACAGCCTCTCCAGCACCTGGACGCGTCAGCGGGGGCTCGCGGACAAGAGGAGGCGGGGTTTCACAAGCCACTGGAGGGGTTGAGATTTGAGTGCAGAAACGGGTCTCAAGTGGATGCAGTCTAGTCAGAGTTGAGCTCCCGTGCCCCGGCGAGACAGCTATTTCTGCATGGAACTGTTGTAAAGCGGTAAAAATCATTCACAGAATACTTTCAGTTCTTTTCCCGGAAAAAAACGCAAAGACGAATTCCTTGAGATCTGATTGAAAAAGTAAAGAAGAGGCTCTCTCAAAGGAAAGATCGGCGGATATGAATTAAACTATCACTATTGCTCATTCACAGGTGAGTTCATCTCTGGACCTCTTTCTCTATATATTTATTATGAAAGCTCAGAGAATATCCCTGAACTTTCCTCTCCACCTCTTTTGGATACAACAGTCTATGTTAAAATGTTTTTGTTGTTGTTACAAGCGCCATGCCAACATCATCTCGTGTGTTTTCTGGGACCATTCGCCATGGGTCACTTTCATTGAAACTGAAAATATTGTTGCTGGTAGATGGGTGGGAGGGCGAGGGGTGGGGGAAGGGGGACGGGGGGTTTGGGCTCTGTCTTTTTTGTTATTGTTATGCAGGTGCGCAGTAATATGCCCCGTGTTACTCATCATTTTTAAACATGACAGCATCCTTTTTTAGCCTACGTTTGCCCTTGGTAAGAGAAATATTCCCAAGTATATAAGTATATAAGTCTATTATGTGATTTCAAAAGCATTATTTTGACGTGAGTAAATAATCCTTATAATGCAACCTGTTTTCTCGCACTTGTGCATTGAGTCTATGACAGCTGTATTTTTATGCTCTCATTATACTTGGCCATATTTTAGCTCTGATTATAAATTGTTGTGTTGTAACTTACACATTGTGCCGAATCCTGCCAATGTAAAAACTGAAAACCATCCATGAATCAGATAACTCGGAACACAGAATGTCTAAAAGTGCACACAGCTTAGGTGCAAAAACCAAGGCTTACTGAGATAGCTGTTATTGTCCTTGTTTGAGTTAAATGTGGGAGTTCTGTTAGGACGACATCCACAAAGAAAGCTTGCAAACATGATTTGAAAATTCTCCATTCTTTGCCTCTTTCTCTGGAGTGCTCCCTTTACTTAAAAGCATTTCCCAGTGGATTTCCAATCAGTCAGTGGGGTTATTAATCATTTTGCTGGACGGTCCCTCTGTCCTTTCCCCTGGCCTTTAGCTATAATTGAGTTTATCTTCACTCCCTTGGGCCTTCCTAAATATTGGTTCGCAGTTTTGTTGCCCTGTAGGGTGGACTCCTATCTTGGTCTTCCTCGTGCTCTGGTCGATTGAGAATCTCTATTATATACTCCATGCACTGCTTAGGTGCTCCCTTTAATTCTGTTGCTGCTTTGTCTGGGGCCTCCTGTGACCCATGTGGATGTTGCTTCTATGAGTAGCTTGACAAAAATGTATGAGTATGATCACTGATTGTGGCAAAGTGAGAAATCAAAGGATTTTTTTTTGTTTATAAATCCACACAATAGATGGCAATCAGCACAGTTTGCAGGTTTTTCCCAAAACTCCTATCTAAAATTAAGGCCAAGTATTCAGAGATGTCAATGATAAGTTGTTTGGTTCTTTGTGTATCAGCAGAAATTCTTTACTAATTCATGTCTCTTATTTCTGGAACAGGATGATTCTGCACTCAATTCACGTCATCGTATTACTGTGGGCTTTGTGCCCCAGTATGCAGAGCCGTTGCCGTTATTCATCAGAGAGAGGCAAACTCAATCTTTCTGTCACTTATGAGCTCCCAGTCTTTGAAGCAGACTTCTCAATCCAGAACATGGTGGTGCTTGATGGGATCATCTATGTGGGTGCTGTCAACAGAATTTATGCTTTGGCCCCAAACCTTACCAAGCTTTCAGAGTACCACACAGGACCACTGCTTGCCAATGAGACCTGTGGTCAGATAAGAACAAACAGCAGTGGAACAGTTGATAACCATAACATTGCTTTAGTGGTGGAGAACATTTATGACAAAGGGTTGTACAGTTGCGGCTCAGCAGATAATGGCATGTGCCGGCGTCATGTTCTTAATGAAGACGATATGCCAAAAACTGTGAATGACCACGTCTATTGCTTTGCCGACAAAGTAAGCCCAGGTGTGGGTCAGCCTAGTGACTCAGATGTTGTCGTGAGCCCATCGGGCTCTCAGGTGCTCAATGTCGAGAGCAATCTCATCAATTTCTTTGTTGGAAACTCAGAGATACCAGGCGCAGGAAATTTTTCAGGCAAATCAACACACCCCCACACAATCTCTCAGCGGAAGATGAAGACGAGCCAGAACGGCTTCACTTTCTTCTCAAACCTTTCACACATGGACCTGATTGCATCCCTCCATGGAAACTACTACCTGCACTACATTCACTCCTTCCACAGAGGGCCCTTCACTTATTTCCTCACGGTGCAGCAGGTGAGCAGGGACTCTCAGGCTTACCACACCCGTATAGTCCGCATGTGCTCCTCGGATCTCGTAATCCGTCGCTACGTGGAAATGCCCCTCGAATGCATTAGCACCAACAAGAGGCGACGACGTTCTGTTGAACATGTGAAGCGGTTCAACATTCTTCAGGCTGCTCACGTCACCAAAGTGGGCAACGATGTGGAGCTGCTGAAGCAGCTGAAAGTGGACGAGGATGACGACATGCTGTTTTTGGCCTTTGCTCGAGGGAAACCCAATTCTCCAGAGCCAACCCCTGACTCGGCCGTCTGCGCCATGTCTTTGAAACACATCAACAACATGTTCAAGATGTACATGCAGAGTTGCAGCACAGTGGAATTATATCACTTCACTGGATCAGACAAGAAGTCCTGCTACAACATGGTAAGAGCTGTAAATGGGGTAGCTATTGTAGACTGAGCAAACATTCCTATGTCCTATATGTAGATGACTGCTAGGGCTCCTTTTGTTACACCTTTATAGGTCTGTAAATTGATTTTTTTTGGAGAGGTCAACTTGGAATACCATTTAGCAGTTTTAGGATGTACTGTTAGACACAGTACGGCAATTAAAGCCATTTGTGTCTAAGCATAGCTTAGGTTTTATAATTTGGAATCAAGGACCTTGGTTCTTTCAGCCTCTGTCAGGGAAGGTGGGTCTTGAGGGAGGACTCAGTCGCGGAATGAAGGGGAAACAAGGTTTATTGTACAAACAGGGTGAATGTCCAGACAAAGTACAAAACAAAGCTGTGGCAAACTGTGGGCAAAGTATCAAAGCAATGAGCAAACAATACTGTGGCAAAAACTCTGACTTGACAAAGTAACAAAATAAAGATAAACAAGACTATGACAAAACGTGACTATGACTGTGGCTGTGGCAGAACTATAACGAAACAAACCTGGCGTGGGGGGTGACGACGGACGAAAGGACAAGAGACAAGGCAAGAAGACAAGAACGACCCCGCACCAGACAAGGGGAAACGAGGACTATTTAAACACATGAGGGAGGGAAACCCCAGGTGTACACAATAGGTAATCAAGACGAGACATTCCCCCAGGCGTGACAGCCTCATGTGGATGGTGGTCTCAGGTACATTCAGATGATATGTCAGCATTGCTACTCTGACTCTGTGGTCATGGGTACACATGCACATCAACCCAATTACAATGAAGATCATATGCTTAATGGATTTTACAAATGTGTGTGTGCCTCAGTATCCACTTAATGCTAATGAGCTCTTTGTTAAAACATAGTTTTGTTCACTCGGTTTGTTCGTTGCTGAGAAAAAAGTTACACCTTGGTGAAAGTGCAAAATTTCAGCTTCAAGTGAAGACTGTTGTCCTTAACATTAGTGAATAGTGTACAACATTTTCATTTTCTTCCTCTTATCAGGGGTTGGGGTGCTGAGGTACTCCAGTTTTTGGGCAAATTGTCAGAGTAACAATTCGAAACATATACAGGGGGAAACCAAGATTTTTATGGCCAAATAACAGAATGTTCTTGTCTGGATAAGTCAGTTACCTGACCTGATCTTACTCAGTTTCTGAAGAATAGGCCATTGCAAGAAAGAAATAGGAAATTATGAAATTCTGTAACACTATTTATTTTAAATGTAGTAACATTGCCAACACAAACAACCTCAAAAACCTTGTCATCGTTTTTTTGATTTCCTGACAAGTGTTTTAGCCTTTTGAAAATCTATGCTGAAATGCTGCACCATACCTTTTAGTTATGGTTTAATTCTAGTCTAATGTTCTCAGAAGTCACTTGTTTCACTTTGTCTCTGTCCTCCAATCAATCAAGCATGACCATGTCAATATCCTGGATCACTGGAACAATACAGACACAAAGTTAACGGTCAACCACTAAGGGTCTGTTAGTAGGTCTGTTCAAGCTTCCCTTTCTGTGACCTCATCTTTACTTAACCTCAGCATCAGACTGAACTGTGCAGCAAATCATTGGTTAGGTATAGGGCCACCACCACCTCTTCAGTATAGTACTCAGTGAATAGGGTTACTTAGGGCAAGCACATACAAGAGTCATGTGGAAACACCCAGCACTCTACTGAGAGAATATCCTGTATAAACATTGACTCTGTATTTTTGTTACTGGGGAGACATTTTTATTTGCATAATAACCTAGTTGAAGTTTTCATAAGGGAATATTTGAGTTGGAAATGACTTGGTCTTTGATTGTAGGATTGGAACAAAAGACGTTACAGTGTTACTTTTCATGGAATTACATTTGATGATTATGAGTAACAAGATTAATAGATTTTGTCCTCAGGGATGTACGGCATAGCTATTTATCAATGTAAAACGTTAAGAACCAAGACCTATATTTCTAAGATAAGACAAATCTGTACTTTTTCAGGAAGAATTCCTTGTTTTGCAGAAATGTAAATTATGCCTTTTTTCTACTTTGGATGCTATTACTTGTAAAAGTCCTTGTATGATAATTCAACTATAAAATACAGTTCTTTTATTGTAAACACACACTATTACAAAGTGTTCTAAAGGGTTATCTGTGGATAAGTTCCTAAAAGAAATTCAAACTAGCTTTGCAAATAGATGCAAAAAAGGATGTATTGGTTGGTTGGGTCAATCAGCGCTGTGTAGATAGTTATCAGGAGTGGACATCCACAGGGGAAAGTGAGGAATGCTGGGGGCTTTGGGATGTTGGATGGGGGGTTAGAAGCCAGTGCATATCTCACTCTCAGTGAACCATGATGAATTGATTTTGGATAACAGGGCATCAGCAGCTGGGTGGGAAGATGATCCTCCTGAGCCACCATGTCAGCCGGCTGCATTGGTGAAGCCTCTTCCCCATTTCGCTAGTCCTTCACCTGTTACCAGCACCTGTGGGAAAATGGCAATGGCATCAATCCTTGGAACTGTTTTAACTGTGTTGAAAATAGATAATGTGATTTTTTGGTATTGTCATTTCTTGTCATTCTTTTACATTATTAAACTACTTTTAACAGAATTTGTGTTAGAAAAATGGCATTAGACCTCCATGTTTCAGGCAGTGTGACTTGTTCTGGACCACAGAACCACGGAACAAACCACAGACCTTCTGTCTCTTAATCTCTTTTGGTAAACAAATGATAGTGATAGTTCTTTATCACAAAAGATTGCACAGAATCAAAAGAAACAGCTCATATGTTTATGTTAATGTTATGCATTTGGCAGACGCTTTTATCCAAAGCGACTTACAGAGTAGGCACAATATTACATTTATTATCACTATGACGATAAGCTATACAGAGGAGAAACACTGATCAGAGTCAGTGGTGACAGCAAGAGATAGAGGTATAGAGGACTACAGAAGGAGTTGTGGGGGTGATAGAGGTACGGGTTGGGTTAGGATAACTCTCTTCACATTGGGTCCAAACTATATAACAGGAACTGTATTGCAGCATGAGACAAGAGCAAACCTGCAGCTCCAAACAGGTAATTGTCAGTTCTTGACAGTGACCGACTGCATTAAAACTACTTTTTTGATCACTCCGAGTGAGAGTGTACTGTTTCATTAATAGACATTCTTTCCCTTTGACTCACTTGGTTATGGGATGACATCAGTTTTCTTGGAGCACCTCTGTGCCTTATAATTATCAGAGTAGTACCTCTGTAACTAAAACTACTAGCTTGTATGTTTTGGCAAACAGCTGGGTTTGAAAGTTGTTTCTTTTACAGTTTCATCCAACTTGACTTGTTGTCCATGTTTGGTGCATAGTGTATTAGTGCAAAACGGCTGTTTCAAAACTTTTCTGTTGCATAGTTTTAAACTCCACATGTGCAGACGCATCAGGTCAAATGCTAAATGACTACTGCCAGAAGAGCTTTTTATCTCTCTGGATCTGTTTTTCCTTTTTTTTTTCAGCCGCCAAGCAGAGAAGTTCTTCCCGTTCTAGAGTATTGGACAACTGTCCATCTGATGTTTGTGCTCTCAGTATATTATCTAATCATGGCACCACCTGATTGCTTTATGGCTTTTGTCGATTGGCATATGGCAGGTAGACATTCTGTTATTATTAGGTTATGCATAGATAAGCATGGTCAAAAACTCATAAAAGTTGTAAGTGTTAAGACAATACATACATAAGCACAGAGGAAATTATGTTTTTCATTCACTCTACCAAACAGTGTGTTCCTGATGGATCACTCCCACTAGAGGTTTTGATCGGGCTGAATGCTCAGAGCAAGAGTAGGTTTGAAGTTTTAAGTGGTGGTTGTCATCTCTGACATGCCTCTCAGCTTAAGTTAAGGCAGTAAGATTTTTATTACATGTTGTAATGATGAGTGGCCCTCTTTTCAGCTGTCTATGTGACAGAGTAAATCTGCGATTCTTGCAGTTTCTTTGAAGCCTTCAGGCTCCTGTTAGTTTTCTGAAAGTTTTGTGACTTGGGAAAAGTCCACTCATGTTCTTCAGAATAAACTAACCAGCTGTTTGGTGGAATTATTATGAATGCTATTTTGAATGCCTAGGTGAGATGTAATTTCCGTCTAAATAAATACCCAGTAATCACAGGCTCAACATAGGAATTAACGTATGTATAATATTAATATTAACACATACTTTTATTAGTCAGCTAGGAGAGGCTCCAGCAGTGTAGAAAATGGATGGATGGATGGATAGATGGATGGATGGATGGATGGATGGATGGATGGATGGATGGATGGAGGGACGGATGGAGGGACGGATGGATGGATGGATATACTTTTATTAAGTGGCTTAAATGATACATCAATAGAAATTACTAAAAGTTGTACATAAATGAAATTTCGAGAATTTCAAAAGCCATGCTTTCCAACTATGTTTTTCTGACCCAAACCTGATTTTTTGTGATCAGTGCAACCAATGTTTTCAATGGCCTGCTATATAAGAACTTCAATTGCCAGAATATAAAATAAAAGCAGAAAAATATAAATGGTCCTATAAAAAAAAAAACGTTACCAATTAACTAAAAGAATAGACAAAATGTTATATTAGCTCTTTAATTTTCAATATGATCATATACCTTTATTTAAAATGCTAAAAAAACTCCATGTTTTTCTTTTAATTTTTTTTCAGTGTCACAGTCATCCAACTCTCACAGAAATTCATTGATATAAAAAACACTCTCTAAATTATTATCCGACCAGCAGAAAGTCCCTTAATGAAATGGTATTGCCTTTGAAACAGAAAAGACATTTTCTGTGGTCATTTTCTGTACTGATATAGTGATGTTTTGGAGTCCTACCAACTCGCCTGGTACCCACTCCCATAAGCCCCATTGAAAGAGCAACAGCTTTTGAGACCAGACACTGTATATAGAATGGTCACATTTGGGGTCAGAGTTACCATCTGATTAGCATTGATTTGAGAAAACCCACCAAATGCTGATTGCTTTTAAATTAAATCTCCAGCCTGATTGATTGTCGTGTTTGTGTATGTATGCGTAATATAATTCCAGTAGGGGAGACACTTTTGACCAACAGTCATTTTGATCAGGGTACTTGTTTAAATGAACAAGTTACAGATGCTGGCTTGAAAAAATGCCAAACAAGCTGACACAGGGGCTTATTGATTTTATATGTCTGTGATATTAAAATGGAAAATCTATTTATACTAATTGAAAGACATATTTGGCATTCAAATGAATAAAAAAAATGCTCCATATAAAAATAAAACATATTTAAAAGAAATTCACAAGTTTGAAACAACAGTAAGCATAATGAAGGAACAAAAGAAAGATGAGCTATTAGTCTGTGTAATGGAAAAATTCAAAACATAGATTTCTCAAAACAATATACTATATTGAAAATATGTAGGAAGGAACATGTGATAAAATAATTGCAATTTGGATTCTCTGATATCAAAGCATAGAACCAACATCCTATCCTTTTCACTGTTGCAAAACAGACAACATGTCCTCCATCTTTCATACAGTTTTGTTTTTCACAGATGTGTTGAGACGCATTGCTGTCTGACAAAAGGAAACATTTGTGCAAATATCTCAGTTGATTCAGAGGATACTGCTGTAGTTGTCATGGTTTTCAGCCCCGCATGCTCAAACCTGCTCATGGCATCACTAAGCTGGTCTTTATTTGCCTGAAGACAAACCAGATGGGCGGCACGGTGTGTTGTGGTTGTTAGGACCGTCACCTCACAACAAGAGGGTTGCCGTTCGAGTCACTGGGGGAACTTGGACCTTTCTATGTGGAGTTTGTATGTTTTCCCCTTGTCTGTGTGGCTATGGCATCCTCCCACTGTCCCAAAACATGCATGTCAGGTTAATTAGACAGTTTAAATTTCCACTAGGATAGAATGTGAGTCTGTGGTTGTTTGTATCTGTGTGGGTGGACACACCAGATGTGCCAAACAGTTTTATGAAGACAGGGGTGATCCAAGTCTGTCACCAATTACAGTCAATTCTTCTTATGGCTGTCTTTGAGAATATTTTGGAAAATATATGTGAAGATTCTCAGTCATCCAGGTCGTGGTCAAGCTTGAAAAGTTCAGTTTAGGCAACTGGACATGAAGTTTTCTACAAGAAGTTTCGCCTCTCATCCAAGAGGCTCTTCAGTTCTAACTGATGGTGGGGAGCACTGAGATATACTGGGATTGAGGGGAAAATGATCTTGGGACTGATCTGTACCAGAGAGAGAGTCAGGCCATATTCAGATGAATAAGGTAAACAATTAATGTTTTATTGATGTTACTTCCATTATTTGTCTATGCTTTGACATTCCCACCTCATTAAAAAAACCTAAAGTTACCGGATCCTCTTCTTTAGTCCTTTAGTTTAATTAGTTATTGTTGAATGAACATAACAAAAACGTCTACCTCTACTGGTAGGCATAATGTGCATTTTCAGTCTAAATAAAGTGGAAATTGACTGTTTGCTTTAAAGGCTGCAACAGATTTAAACCTGAAAATGATTTTTATTTCACCCTTAGGACAAACAAACGAATAACACATTCAATTCACATAGCAATTCATAACACATTCTCTCTAGGAATAGTTGTAGAAGCAGAATTACAGCATAGAGAAATTATGTTATGGTAGCATGAACATAAAGTTAAAAAGTTAGCTAAATAAAAAAGAACCCAGCATGAGCCACCACATTCTCTTACTCTGTTAACATATACGTCACAGCCTTTGTCCTGCATGCCCAAGCCTGTCCCACCACCACTAAGCTGAATGATGCAGGAAAGGGGAATCAACAAAAGAGTGGGAGTACTACATTCTTGTTATGTCTTGTCCCCTGTGTTCCACTGAGTATGACATAAGAGCTGTTGTGTTCTGGTTAGATACCTGTATCTACTAACACATCCAAACACACATCCAATGGACCGCACATCTGCACACCTGCACACCTGCAGCAGAGTTAAACAGAAATGTAACTTGACTATAAGGTAAATCTTAAGCAATTAATTAATTCATCAATTAAATGTCACGGAAATAACACATTTACATGCAATTAATGTGTAATCATTGTTATGATACGCCTCAGTGATTAACATGCACTGATGTGTATGTTACAGTTCTTTAAACTTTGGAAGATGAAGCCTGTGAGAGGCATGATTTACCCTGTTTAAAAACACTGTCCTTTCTGATCAGGTGTGAAATGTAAAGCTCTGCAGGCATTACCTGAACATTTTTTACATGATTTCACATTAGCTCAATAGCATTATTTAGTTTTGAACCCGCTGAGTAAATCATTAGCCCATGACTTTAGTTTCTTGTTTTGCTGCGAAGCTGGATGTGTATGTAAAGCCTTTTACTCAGACTTTTGTGTGCACACCTTATCTCTGTTTCTAAGATAAAGAGAGGAATAGTAAATATGCAAACCGTCAGAGGCTGCAAGCTGTCTTTCTGTAGGCAGAGAAATTGGCATCAGCTAAATCAGCCTAAAGCTGTTCAATTTAGCCAAGCTGCTAAGATCTTTATTACTGCTTTTCAGTAAGAAAATATTTTTTCCTGGTCATATAAATAATTATGTTATTAAACCTGCAAAGGAAATTGAAAATGCAATGCCAGTCACAACAAGCACAAAATAACCATTCTGTTGTTTATTTTACCAACTTTTGTCCCAATATCTTTTGGTAGCTTTAGAAAACAATAACATCTTCTAGACCTAGCAGTTTTTAATAGTAATCTTGACACAATTTGATTTATTTTTCTTTTTTCGAAATACTTTTTTGTGGAATTTTCTAAACTAAGTGATTCATCTTTTGGGGAAATTATTACTTTGATCCAACTTACAGATATAATGTATATAGTGAATTCTTCATCCATCCTTCTTTGTAGGCTGATGTCAGACCACAGAAACAGAAATTCTGTTTCTAGCCAATTACCCAAAGTACTTTGATGATCATTGTAAAAAGGCCATTTCATATCTGATCTGACACTGTTGCAAAGGAGATACATTCTGCAAATGCCATCCAGATGAATGTTAGATCTCTGATTTGATTTCTTAAATGCATTCCTTACCAGCATAGAGCAACTTGCCAGCAGTGCCACAAGCTATTCATGGTACTTTTATTTAGTGTCAAATACGGAGGAGCTTTACTCTGCTGGGCTTATGAGTCAAGGCCTCAAAGCTATTTCCTAATCGGCTGCATGCCTCCCTCTCTTCTATTTCATCACATGGTGATATCCTGCCCTCTACACAATGAGGCATGTGGATGCTTATCTACCAGCCGACCATGCTCCAAACGAAGGCCCAAAAGCAATCTCTCCTCTTCCTGCTATCCTGAACAGCTACCAAAATTAATTTCAACCTCTTAGATCCTTCTTCTAAAGTCATAAACTTTGAGTTTACCCATTTAAAAAGCTCATAATCCCAAAGTTTAGTGGAAAAGCAAATGATCCCAACAGAGATTTCCTCTCCATATTATTTGTACTTTGGGACTGTTTGTAGAGGTTGCACACATGGGCAACCTAACCCTCCAACTTTGTTTTGGAGATGCATGCCTACCTAAAAACAGTTTATCCATGGTGTACAGGTAAATCCTTTAAAAGTCAGTTCACATGAATTGTGTTAAAGATTCTGTATTAATCCTATCTACCTCAATTCAATAAGTAATCATCAATAGAAAGAAAGTAAGGGACTATGTCTGACTATGTACTCAAGAAATGGAACCAGAGGAATATACCCGGCCTACTACCTCTAGTCCAGGAAGTTTTTTTCACCCTGGTATGCTCCCAAACAATTCCTAACAACACAATGGTTATCTTTTCAATCCACTGTACACATTGCCTCCACACGCTTTGATCTTATAGTTCCTTATGGTGATCCTGGCTTGAGTCACACAGCTGTAAGAAGGAAAAGTCACACTTGAAAGGACTGGTCAGCTTTTCTTTTAAATTATTTGCATTCTGACTACACTAGATATATGAATTTGTCTGCGGTTGGAGTGTGTCAAGATTGTCCAAGACATTCTACAGAATTATTCTTTTACATGTCTGTAAAATGTCTGCTTTTATTGTTTTTGGATAAAATCAGAGTTCAGTCTTTCTTTTGAGCAAAATTACCAAATGTTTGGTAACATCACATACCTTTATGCCTGCTCTTTTGACAAGAAAATTACATGAAACTGAGGCTTTGAAATTGAGTCATCATATAGAGCTCTCAAGTTTGTGAGTGAGTGCAAACAGATGCAGAACAATTATTTAGAGCCTGATCACTGAATAATGTTGGCACATGTGTGCAAGCGTATAAGATGATGGATGGGCAAAAATGGCAAAGCCTGATGCCAGCTTCCAGGAATTTTACAAGTCTTAAAAAACAGAACAGAAATGCATTGTTGCAATTGCAGTCAGCTGTCTGAGGACATAATCTCTTGCTTGGTTTTTGGGGATTGTGACTAAATGGGTGCCACCTGCAAGCTTTCACGGCATACTGAGAAATATTTATTGGCAGCTTTAAAAAGACGGGCGTCTGTCAAAATCAGTGTGTTCAGAAGGGTTTTGATAATATTTGGGCTGTTAATCAATGGGTCTACTGTGTTATTTTTAGCTGCTGGAAAATTACATTTGCACTTCATGTAAAGAAATAACTGTGAATGACTGCGCAGCTGAGAAAGAAGAGCAAGATTGGAGCCAGACATGGTGGAGAAGAACTTAGAAGAAAAATGCTCTCCACAGGGCACAAGCCTTTCTCTCTCAGGTGCGCAGCCAGTACAATAATAGTGATCTCATCTCATCCAGGACCATGCTGCGATGAGAGGGCTTGTTTAGTCAGACCTTGTGTTGACCTTTGGTTGATATGCTGTGTCGATTCTGAAATGCTGGCTGGTGCTGTTTACAACCTGAGGTTATCTGGCTGCTCTTCAACGGCTGCTGTTGAGCTGCAGGTCTCCAGCTGCTGTTTATCCACGTTACCTCATGCTTCAGGAAGCACCTCTCTGCTACACCCCTCATAATTGAAAACAAGAGAAGCGGCGACATATCATAAATGTTCAACTGATTTTTTGGCTATATCTTCTTACAGTAAAGTCTTTAATGTGAATATTATGCCAAGTGCCTACACTGCTAGATAGATCTGATTATTTCATACTGGAATCAAGCATTTAGCATTTATTTAAAAAAAAAAAAGTAACATATTTCACACTCATTTCAAATAACTTATTGGTATTAGTTATTTGTTATAGATATAGTTAAGTATAGGTATAAGTTATAAGTATTGGTATGATTTCAAAATGTTCTTGTTCATACTATCTAAAAAAATTAGCATAAAGTATCCCAATATTTGCAGTTTAATCTGCCTCTGCAAAGTACAACAGATGTACATTAAAAACCTTTCTTACTGTAGTAATAAATTGAAGAGTTATGGTAATGCTAGTAAAGTCATGTGTGAATTTTACACTCTTGGGGACTATCTACAAAAAACAAAAAGCAGTTCTGGAACATTTATTCAAGAAAATTTTAAACTCTTTCAGATGTAATGCGCTTGAATTAACTCGTAGTCAATATGGCAGTTTTGATTTTATTCACCTTGGTTTTTCAGCTCTCTTTGAGATTTTATTATTTTTCCAGTTTGTTTTGTGTGTGAGTGATGTATATATAATATGAAGCCTTCATCTACATTTGGAAACATGAAGAACACACTGTTGCAAGAAGAAAGTTCAAGCTTTTCTGATAGTGGCACTTTATTAGTGACCTGCCCAAGGAGCAAGATATTATCAGTTTATCTGTTGAAAAATCAGATTAGCCCCTTTCTCCTTTGTTGGTTGATGCCTTTCTGTTAACCTTAAGTCACAACTGAGTAGCAAAGGTGCAGACAAATAGTGAGGTGGAGTTACAGTAACACCTGAAAACAGAGTCCTTTAAAGGGCCTAAAATGCAAAACAGTGGTTGTAAAGATAAAAAAACAAAAGAATGTAATGATTTTATAAATAAACTTCCAGGATTTCTCAGGGCTCACACTTAGAGCCTCATAAATGTTGTCCCAATCAGTAAGAAAAGCTCATCATCTTATGTAAATGTCATAGAGGTTAGTCTGTTGAATAATTACAGTTACTTGGAAACGTGAAAAATTTCTATCTAGGTACTTTTTTGGCCAAAATGTATGAAGGTGCAGACCCAGCTATATCCTTTTGATCTGCAGACTGTAACTTAAACTGCTATGCCAGTCTGGCCAAAAGCTGAAAAATCTGCTGCTGCTTCTTTGAGAGTTATTATACTGTGTACAACTCCAACAAAATCAGTGGGCCATCATTCTTCGCTGTGTTTTGAATCGCATAAATCCACTCCAAAAAAAGTCCTTCTTGACTGTGTTTTCAAAGATGATATTTTAGGCTTTTGAGGTGGTGGACAAGACGGGGGATGAACACACTATTGCAGGTTTCATATCATTAAGGTCTTTAAGTAAGGCTATGAAGCTGGACATTGGTCCTTTGTTAAAGAATCCTACAGATGTCACTGACACACATACATCCCAATCAAATATTAAAAATAGTGGTTTGTCAAGGAATAAAATAGGATGAGGGACAAAATACAGCTCAGATCTAACTGTAGAATGAAAGGAAATACGGAATGACTGTAAGACCTAACATTTTTGTGAAATGATAAGTATCCTTGTCAGAAAAAAACAGAAATTAATGGAAAAAATGTGATAATTCTTCATAGAGTTTATTTCTTAAGGTAAAGACCTGAGACATAACATAAGATAGACAAGGATGCTGGATGAACACTGGTATAAGTAGCGGGATCATGATAACAACACAAAAGGGTAATGATGAGGACTTAGGTGCAGACACACACAATATGAACCGAGTAAATCGACAATTGTTGTGTCAGGACCGGTGGTGAGGCCGAACATTGAAGTAGAAGAAGAGCAGGCATGACAGCAGTATCTGTGAGCAATCCGGTAGGCTGTGTGCTTTGCTTACTTGATGCAAGTTCGGGGGGGGGGGTTAAAGGATGTGAAGGTACATGTTTAAACCACAGTGTAGGTAATGGGTAATAGTAAGGGATTTTCCATATCTCTCTCACTCCTGTGGATGATAAGAGTGAGCCAGGGGTGACGAGAGTGAGGAAGGACAAATAGGAAGATGGGCTCATGATGGTTCCAAATCATGACCTTGATGAGGCAGATGAGATGTGTCACGGAACTCCCGCTAAGTTTGTGTCCCATCAGTAGCCGTTACAGCCATCGAAATATGTTGGAAGGGCAGATGAAACCGACAAGCTTCAGCCTCTGAGTACCCCCTCAGCCATTGCTCAGAGGCTTAAGGAGAACCCTCAATCGGAAGAGGGATGTCTGTTGTCTCCATCCTGGTGCTGAATGGTTAATAAAAACAGTAACGAATGGAAACAAACATAAGAATTATTATAGGGTTTATTTCTCAAAGTAAAGACTTTGTGCCATAACATAAGACTACACAAGGAAGCTGGATGACATTGTATGTAAATAGAAGGATGACTGGTCCAACACATAAGGGTAATTGAGGACAGAGGTGCAGACAATGATGACATGAACAGAGGACTCCTGGGAATTCTAGTGTCAAAACCAGTGATCAGTAGTGCTGGCGATGTTGAACATGTAAGTTCAGGAAGTGCAGGCATGACAATCCTTCTCCAGGTGGTTTGTGCTCAATTTTGGTTTGGTCAAGTGTTATTTAGAAAGATAATCATGCCTTTTCACTTGAAAAATAACTTCAATCACAAACTTGAACACCTTTGAAAAATGAGGTTAAGATCCCAAATGCAAATTCTTTTTCGGGAATATGAATAATAGAAGTTAAAACTGTATCTTCTTTCAAATGTAGGATAAAACATTAAATCCAAACACTGTGGTGGGTGTCTTTCTTGAATAGCCAGTTAGCTGTTCAGTTTCAAAGTCTTACATTTAAGGAATACTCCAGCAAAGAACAGTCTGCTGATTTAGTTTAACTCTGAGAACAGGCAGGACCTTTTATCCGTAAAACAGGGAGCATGAGATGGATTACAAGGTTTAAAGAAATCAGACAGGTATGAACGAGCATACCACTTTTTAATTTTGGGGACAAAGATGATACAGAAATCAGATGAAAGGAAGTTAAAAATGGTTGGAGACTGTTTTCTTTTGGCTCTACAGCTGGACGAAGCAATAAGTGACAAAAAATATGTTGTTTTCTCCTTTTGGGTTTCTTACTTTTCAATTTACATGCACAATTTTTTGTTATGTGTCATTGCTTTTGTTAAGCTCTCTTGAGTGGAGTTGTGACATTAAGTGTAATGTTATTAGTAAACTGGGCAAATGCTCCTTTACTGTTCATTTAAAGGCTAAATATATAATGTTTAATACTTCAGCACAGCAATAAAAAATTATTTACTGTTCAAGATAGCTGTGTAACGGTTTCTCCCAAATTGCCCATTCTCTCAGGTTTGAAGTGTGGCATTGTAAAAACTGAGTCAAGATCCAGGTTTTTTTAGTGAAAATTTCAAGCACTCATCACTGTTACCCAATTTCTATTGGAAATGGTTTTTCCAAATTTAGGGGCTTGGGTTTTATACAATCAAATTTCTGTGGGCTAGAGGAAAGTAAGTTATATGCTGCATTTATCCCCTAAATTTGGTATACTTACTGATGCTACATTTGTTCTGTTCATTCACTGTACATGTCTCATACTTTCAACAGAGTAAATATTTCACAATTGTTGCTACTCTTTGCCATAATGGTTGGTAAAATTAATTGGTTGAAATATACAAGAAGGATTTTCTTTGCTTTGTACTGGGACTTCCACAGTGAGGGTTAGAAAAGTGTCTACCTGAGGAAATATTTCAACTAAACTATAGGGCCGGAGTGTAAATGATTTGTGCAGATGGCCCCATGGATACCTTTTTTTTTAAAACATATTGAACTGTCAATCTAAAAAAGAAGCACAATTTTAGTTTTAGTTTAGTTATGTATGCTTTATTTGTATTTCAATGGGGTTGCAATGCTTCATCCATTACTTTATATTTCACAGTAAACATTTTACATTAAAGCTGTGCACCCGTAGCGCTGCACCGGTAACACTAACTAGTATTAAACCATTAAAATTTGGCTATAAAACTAATATATCTGTCTTTAAAAAGAAATAAAGAGGTTTTACTTTATGTTTATGTTATATTGTTACTGTACTCCCTGTTTTCTGTTGGACCTCATTCATCTGTGAAGCAATTTTTTGCCCATGGCTATGGTTCCTATTGTCTTTCCTAGCATCATTAGTACCATACGAGGGCGAGGCTAAATTCACCATGGGTGCTAGAGTTTGCTCTCGCTTCATTGCTTTCTTTCTCACTTTACTGATTATTCTCTTCCACAACATATATACAATCCAACATACATTAACATGTGACAACATACACTTGTTTCCATTTGTGTGACACCCCCATATACACTTTCATAGCATTACAGCTACAGGGTCAGGTTGCAGAGTAATGTGCTACTGAGCCCAGGTGGGGTGCAGTAATGCACGTTCCAACAATACGGCTGCAACCCCTCCCTAAACACTCACACAAAAGGATATGTGCATTTAAAATTCTTTTGCATTTTACATTCTCTTAAAATGTATTTAAACTTATCCCAACGACAACCAAAGCTCTCTGAACTGCACCATTGCACAAACAGTCCATAGGTCAAGGGATATGTTTTTCCAGTGAGCCACTCAGCTCTTAGGTCTGTAATGAGACAGACTAGATGTGTGCATGTGCTAAAGCTTCCACACAACAGAAATATCAGCGTAGACTCTATTTTTTGGATTGCAGATACAGCGTTTTTATTCTGAGCTGCTTTTTCCAATAGCCCATCTGTGATTTATAATTCAGGTATAAGTTTGTTTATTCACACAGGGCCGAGGGGCCACAGGTGATCCTTGCAGCTTCATGACATGAATCTACAAGGATCACCTTTCCCCTTCCATTTTGACTGTCCCAAGCAGTGCTGCAGGCTTTGACTGCTTCACAATACAGAAATCCTACCACAGTCCTGTTGTTCTGGGAACAATGACTTGTGGTTAGGTATGGGGCAAATGGGGTGTACAGTATCTTCCACATTTGCCCCATGGTGCTTGTTCCTTAGTTGAATGACATATTTACAAAATGGTCTGAATTTGTACAATACCAGAAGCGCTTGCTTTATCAGTAAATCTTCTTAAAGATCAAACCAAAGGAAAGTGAAAATTTAACTTCCAACTGGGGGTATAATCAATGCTGGTTTGATAATTGTATATTCTAAAAACCATTCTCTTTTTACTTAAGAAATATGTAAGATAATTTGTCAGTGGGCAAGGTTATGCAGTTTTGAATTACATAGTAAGTTTCAAAATATGTTGTATTTGCTGAAAGACTTAGAATAAAACAAGTTTTCCTCCATTTACAATGAAGCATATATAAAAGATATTTAAACAATATTCATGCCTACCCTGAACTGTTGGAGCTCTAACTGGAGAAATTGCACATGCACATGGCCAACTGTTGCCAGCTACTACCTTCTTGTCATTATTATTGTCTTGTACGCACAGGGGATTTATTTTAGTAGTCTTAGGTAGCTTACCATATAATTTTTTTCAGTATTTCTTAGATTCAGTGGCTTATGTAAAATAATAATGATAATAATAACATTTAGGTAAGGGTTAGAGTTAATTCTGTCTTCATGTCATGAAAAATCCAAGCAGCAGAGCTTGAAAAATACTTGTCAAAACACCCTTTCCACTGACTAATTTCATTGCCTTGATCTTCAAAAATATCTTAGCTGAGGCAGAGGAATGCCTGTGAGACCGTTTCAGACCTTCATCCCAACATACTTCTGCGCTTCAACAAACACCCTGAAGTCCTTCTTGTTTGCTCTGAAAATAATAAGCCTTGAGCCTGTTTTTTTTATCAGCATGGCATGATCTTTGCAGTAATAGCATCTCTGTGGACTATTTGAGTTTCTCTCTGATTTGAGTTTTTGAGAAGTCACAGGAGTTTTGGCAGATTCTTATGTTTCTCACAGCCCAGTGCTCAGTGCTGTCTGCTATATTTGAAAAGTGCAAACAGGTGTATTCAGTCTAAAAACGTATCATATTTTAGACTGCATTTCCTGGGAAAAGTTTGGCCTTTTTAGGGCGCTCTTACTGACACAAAGCTTGTATCCTGCCATTGTGTTCAAAGAAGACATATTTCTTCTGCATTTCTCTTTAATTGTTATTATTTCTACTTTTCTTGCATGTCTGTATTATCATCCAACTCTTTATTAGACTCAACTCACAAACTCATTAGGCATTTTTCATCCCATTTGATCTACTCTTGATCTACCCTTTCTTAAAACCAGTCAGTCTTTTTGCCAGCTTTCAAATTGTCATTACATTGTCTTTGAAACTGCAGCTTCTGGCCTTGAGGATATTTAATTTTATCCAATGTTTGTTTTTGTGAGTTTGCAAGTTAGTCAGGTTTCTCTCCCCTTTTCACCTTTCTCCTTCATGGGCTTTTTTGCTGTTACAGCTCAATTACCAAGAAGCAGGGGAAAAAATTATACCACCATTGTTCTTGTCGTCCTCAAAGATTGCCTAAAGAAATGACACATTGAGGGTCACACAAACAACAAATTGTGGCCTTGTGAGCCCAGGAGTCTCTTGCTAGTGGTAAAAAAAAAAATTGAGAGAATTAAGGCTGATAATGATCATAATGATAACTTTGCGTGTTCACTCTTCCTTGACTCGAGACTCCAGTGAAGAGGTCGTCATCCACTGAAGCAGAGAAAACAACCGAAGCTGACGCCTGGTCAAGCGGTCAGGTCAAGGACTTTAAAAGCAACAGGAGGCCTCCCACCCCTCTCGGTCATTAATAATTAATGAAACCTGAGGCTGCAACAGGAGGCCATGACTAAACATAAAAAGAACAATGAGAACAGGACAGGGCAGTAAGGAAATGGGGAATGTCGAGAAGGGGGAGGGTATTGATAAAGAACTAAAGGCCTTAGAGACCACCATTACAATAGTCTGATGAAAGAGTAGCTAAGAGGGGCTTATAAAGTTTGGCTCATAACACTCCCCCATTGGGTTGGATATGAAAGAAGATAGTTCCGCATGATATTACCAAATTACAGGCTCAATTTAATACACCAATCTCAATCTCACCCCCTTTGCAGTGCTGTCATTTTTCTGGTAATCGGCATTAGTTTTTCGCCATCTCAGATTTTTTCTCTTTTTTTTTTTCTTTTGTCATATCCAGCATCATGGCAAGCAGAATGGTTAAAAATGAACAGAAAAACAAAAAAGCAAAAAAAAAAATACCGGCAGAAAAAGTATGGAGCAAGACTGTTGATACTAATATACAAAACTACAGTTCAGCACAACTCTTATATTATGAGCACAAATGTGTGTCTGTGTGTGAACATGCACAAGAGGATGTTTTTTTTTTTTGTCTCCAGTATCATGACAATAGAATGGTTCTCACACTACAGTTATGCCAAACAAATGTGCTTTTCCGAGGGATGTTTAACTCAAAACACATCTTTTGATGGTCAAGTCTTGATGACTTATTTATTGCTGCAAAGAGGATGTTTTCTTACTCCTGAACCTGAGCACACTGACTTGTCTGACATTTCTTAGCTACATCCTATGCCATATCACTATGATGCTGCAACCCAAACAGAAAGCGCTCTTTCACTGATACTTGTGATTTCTCTGCAGAGTTCTTCAGATGACTGTGACCCCCATGAAGGAATCCATGAGGGGAAAGAGGGCATGTATCGTCTGCAGGTGACTCAGTTTTTCCAGAGGTTGGAGTTCTTCCACAAAGACCTGGCAAACATTTTGGTTACCTCAATCACCGTGGTTCCAGTCCGTGGCCGCACTGTAGCATACCTAGGAACAGCAGACGGACGTCACATACAGGTATGGATTAAAGTTACTTGTAAATGGAAAGTGCTTTGGCATACATAGAGACTCCTGCATATTGTGTATGAGACATGTAGAGGATATAACAGAGAGTCAGTGGATTTAGGGAATTAATGACTGAAAGGCAGAATGTATTTGCAGTGTTTGTTGTACTATGATCAGTTACTCTTTTAAACGACCTGCAATGTGAGCAAATAGTGTGCCTTTTAGCCCACAAATGTATATGGCACTGGTGAACCCCACTTTCCTATTCATATTAGCAGCTTTCAGCATCTGTTACACAACACATCAAGAATCTTTCTCTAGCATAAGTAGATTGACAAAAGGTATTTAGTTGAATTAAGTGGGGCAACGTCCTCAGCGTGTATTCATGCTTGAGAGTCACTCATTTAATATTTTTGACAGCAGAGAATCTTTTTGAATAAATGCCTATATGACATAGACACTGTAATACATGTAATATGTAAACTGGTTTGTGGCATTGAAGCTAATATTTTTTGATCAATCTAATTTGATTTTAAGGCCTGACATACAAAGTTAATTGAATTTGCAATACCGATATAAATGGGAATCTTATGAATAGGCAGTTTGTATTTTTAATGACTAGCTCACCATATATGTTGATTTTAGAGTCAGTGTAACATCAATGTACCGTCAGTGCAGATTTTAACTTGTAGGTGTCAGTTTATTTAGTTTATTTTGATCATCAAAGATAATAATTGCAGTTTGACTATCAGTATAAATAATACAGTGTGACAATAGAGTATATCTGCATGTCAGACAGTGAGTCATTTTATTGACTGTGGTTTATGTGGGGTTTTGGATATTTCACCCATCCACTATAAGAAATAAATACTAAACATGTAAAGGTTGCAACTGACTTGCAGCAAGTATTGATGCATTGGTGCATCAGTAAGAAACTATGGCTGTGAATACAACACATGAAGCAAAACTGAATTACCTCACGTGTTTTTGAAACACAAGAAAGAAAAGACATGCCTGGTAAAAAGCAGCAAGGGAGACTTGGAAAAAAAGACTGACAGCTGCACGGAAGGGCAGGGAGGGTAGAGACAGTGGTAGTGGGGTGCGAGGGGGCTTACAAGCTGAACGGCACGTTAATGGTGAACTTCACTGACATGTTCCTTCACACGGCATTTTTACTTACTGAGGATCCCATGCAGCTGTTGCAGCGTGTTTCTCTAACATCAACCACCATCCAATTCAAATCCCGGACCAATCTTGCAGTATTTTTTGAGACGGACTGAAACGGTTCATGGTTTCAGCTCAAAATTTTATGAGGAGTCTAGTTGCTCAGGGCTGCGAAACTCACTAATCTGATTTTTTTTTTATATACTAAATTTAAAATCTATGAAAGTAAAGCATTTTCAATTTATGTTTTTGGAATTTATTCTTACTTTAAAACATTGAAGATAAGATGTTTGATATTGTCAATTGAACAGACAAGACAAGCCTTACGGCATTTTAATCTATTATTGTGATATAAAAGGGCCCTCTTAAATTTTGAAGCAGGATTGGTGTATAAATGTTGACATTTTTTACTTCAGCCTAATTGTGGTATAATTACCTTGCGCATATTCTGCTCTAGCAGCCAGGTATAACTTATTATTTACTTATTATGGTTGAATTGGTTATCTACAATCTACTGAATAAAACAAAATGAATTGAATGCCAATGTAAAATGGAGCTCTTTTAGGCAAGATTTTGTGGTGGCGCATTACAACATTCTTTTATATTTTGTGTTGGCTCATTTTTAAGATTTTTCCAAATAAAGTAAATTAGTTTTGTGATGTCAGTGGGTGTTTGATTCCTCCCATAGTTCAAAAGTCATGTTAGGGTAATTAGAAACTGACACTTTGAGTTAGTGAAAGGGGTTTCTGTGTAGTCAGTCTGATTGGCTCGAGATCTGCCCAGAGTGTATCCTGCCTCACACTGATGACAGCTAGTTAGCTCTTCTATGATCCTGAATAGGATGCAGTATCGTACATGAATAGTGCAAATGAGATTACAATTATTCAAAACCAGTCCATGTTAGTACTTGTGTTTATGCTATTAACATCTTTCAGACATTGCCTTGCTCCCACATGATTCACAAGTGCAACCAAGTGTACCACATTCTGTTCACTCTTCCAGTCCTGATTTGGATAGGCATTTATTTGAACTGGTGACCCTAACGCCAACTGTTGCATAAATCGAAATGTGAAGGAGCAACAACAATATGTAAGGTCTGGTCATCAAAATCACTGCAACTCATTTAAATGTTTGTAACATAAAAAACATAAAGTTGTCATGAATTAAAGTTTTCTGGTTGGCAGGAAGGAAAATTAAATAAAAGGAGGGAAAGAAAAAGTTAGTTGTTTGCCCCCTCCGTGGACTGGCTCAGGAAGTGCTTCCTTCGACTTTCAGTTAGGCCACAGATGGAAAAACACAGAGTGTGTGTTTTTCGGCCAAACATCCCCGAAGTCTGAATAACACAATAAGCTTTAATTTACACTGGTATTACCTCCAGAGAGACTGCTGTTGTGTTGCTCTGTCCCTAGCAGAAAGTCATCTATTATGCCCACTGTTACAAAGCTAACGTTGATCATGAGGCTCAATCAGTAGGAGGAATGATTCTGGAAAACAAGACATTTCTTAAGGTTGAGGCTGAGTCTGAGCAGTGTATCAACCAAATTACACAAATATTTTTATTTGTTTAATGCAAACAATGCTGTTTAAGATATTTCTGAAGGCCCAAATGTATAGTTATTTACAATAAGAGCTCAAAGCAGTCAGCAGTTTTAAATCACTGCTTAGTGCTAATAAAGCAGTAAATCACACACACACACACAACCACTCAAAACTTTGCGTTTATCTCTTATGGTGTTGCAGACAGCCAAGTGTGTGTTAAAGTGTCAGATGCGTTTGGTTGGTGATACCAGAGTTTGTTGCTTTGTATTTTGTACGTACTTTTTGGTTGTAGTCTTACTACCACCCATTAGCATATGCAAAAATGTGTGTGTGTAAATGCGTATAAGAGTGTGTAATTTAGAAGATCTCATTTAACTGGAGTAACCACACACACCATCAGAGACAGTATTTTGTTATTCTACCTCTAAACCCTGAAATGCAGCAGCTGATAAATACTTTTTCAGATGTGTTGAATGCATACGTGTGGGCATTGAATAATTCTGTGCTATTGCGTTTGAATGGGTGGCAGAGCTTGTATGTACAGTATATGACATGTGGTTCTAAACAGCAGAAACAGCCAGATATAGTGTGTGTGTGTATTTACACGATAAAGAAAGATGAAATACAGATAACTGGTGTTTGCAATTAGCAAACTTGACAGTGAAAGATAAAACTGGCACATGTATGAAATTTTCTATGAATTATTAAGTGAGTAATTGTGTTTAGGCCTGACAAGCATATGTCAGTTTGCCTGTAGAATATTCAATAGCATATACAGTTATAAGTAATGCAGATGGATCCATGCATTCATATAGTGTCCCCGATATTTCTTTTTGTGACATGAACTAAACCCTAAACAGTCAGCACATTAATCATTAAACAAGTGTCAAGCATGCATGGATACATGGGACAGTTTCAGCATTTTTTTTTAAAGATCTATAACTGACAAGTGAAAGCCCTCCAGAATATTCATTAGCTCTCAGTTTTTATTTTTTCTAGTGGGATCATAGAAACTGATAGAGAATATAATTAATTCTGATTCATGACCAATGTAATTTAATGCAACAACATACACTTATGTATAGCCAAATGGTGAACTATATTTAAGCCACACATTTTTTGCCATTAACAAAGTAACCTTTATACTAAAAAAAACGTGAACCTGAGAAAAAAGATTGGAAGAAAAACTGGAAAACTTCTGCTTTTGTAAACCTACATTGTTTACTCTATGAGTAGCCTCTGCAGTAACAGACTCTTTTCAGCTACAACATCTGTTATCTTATCACTCTCCAGCATTTAAGTACATCTAGCTGAGTAGCCATGAGGATAAAACCTAAAGGTGCTGTTGTGAAACGGCTTTAATTTTTAATTAATTTGATTATCAATTTGATGATTTGTCTTATCTCTGCTGGATGCCAGAGACTACTTTAAGGAATGTGACACTAATAGGCACAACTAAGGCATTTCTTATTTTGCGCCTGTTTATTTATTTTCTGATCTCTGCTCTTTATTGTCAGCTCAGCTGGCCGGCCCTGAGGCGCTTGTTCATGTGTTACAGATCGGCTTTGCAGCCATGTGCAGCAGCTTCTTGCATACTTGCCATCACGCCAACCAGTTCACCCGGTGGTTCAGCCTGTGGGCCGATGGTTCAATTAATCTGTATCTGTTGTCATTAACAGAATCTTTAATTGAGGACAGAACCTCACATAATATGTGAACAGTTTTTCCAGATAATACCATTTTGCTCACATAGGCTATGTGCAGCTCCAGAGATTACTGTATTTTCTTGATATATATGTGCAACCTAGCTTCCTTATCTATTCTTCTTTTTAAAACTACTGTGTTGGAACAAGTTAAATGTGGTTCTTCCTAGCCTTGGAACCTCATGTCGGATACATTCTGCTTTTATATTTCAGAATAGATAAGACCTTTCACATGCCGTGTGTAGTCAACACTTAAAAATGTGTTTGATCCTTTGGGCTTTATTGCTCCAGTTATCATTCAGGGAAAGCTACTTCTTAGCGAACTCTCTATACAAGACCCAGAATTAGATCTTCCTCTTTGCCAAGACATGTATGAAGAATTGAGAAAATGGGAAGAATTACTGCAGCTGCTCCTTCCTCTACACATTCTTTGGACTTATGGGTCCTTTGTTTCACAAAGAAAGACCATTGAGCGCTGCATCTTTTCAGATGCCTCAGTAAAAGCAATAGCCGCTGTGGCTTATCTGAAAGTCACAGCCAAAAAATGACCATGTTGCAGTAGGCCTTTTTCTTGGAAAGCCAGGTTGGCTTCTGTGCCAGAGCTCACAATGCCAAGGCTTGAGATCTGTGCTGCTCTCCTAGCTGTGGGGCTGTTAAACCGTGTAGGAGAAGAGTTTGTTCAGAGGTTTAATTGTGTCACATTCTATACTGACCGAAGAGTCGTGCTTGGATACATCTGGAGTCAGAGTCCAAGATTTTATGTGTATTTGAAACAATAATTTTCAGATAATTATACAGTCAACTTAATGTAAATATGCCAATCATCTGACACCCGCCACTACTCTCTCAGAGGTTTGGTGCTATTTTGCATCCACCTAGGGAGTTCTTACAAACAGATCTCAACACAAATCAGTGGAAATGGTTTAAGTTATGGCAGACACCTTTTGGATTTGTTGGTGCAGGGAATACCTGAGCACCATGCAGAGTCATAGCAAATGGCAGCGCAAGAAGCAGAACCGCAGACAGGGATATATTGCTCTCATAAATGAGGCTCTAGAAAAACAAAACAAACGGCCACTAGGAATTGTTTTTGGACACTTCCAAGTAGTGATGGCTTTGTTTAAAAGGTCCAAGTAAGAGAGATGTATCAAAAGATACCAAAGATCTTTGTTAGACCAATTTCAAATGTCTAGCACTTTCCTGATTCGATTATTTGTTAGCATAAGCAAAACAGACAGGAAACTGTTTCTCCAAAAGATATATACCCTGTAACTTGAAGGTGTCAGATTTGTTGCTCATTGAAACCTGCATCACTGTTTATTATAGTCTGCCTATTTTCAAGCTGACCATGTTTCTCTTTTATGTCCTTTGGCTTCCTCTCATGTGAGAGTGTTAGGACTTAATGCAGCATTTTGGACTGCTACTGGCGTCCATTATCTCTTTTCTGCTCTTAAAACTTAATGAGCTTGAGTACATGGGCCAGTTTTCTTCAGATTGTTTTAAATGAGCTAAACTCTAGATATCTCTCCAGAGAGATAAGACATTCCCAATAATTTTCGTGCAGAAAGTGCCAGCCAAGGTGAGCTGGCAATTTTTTTTTATATCTTCCAGTTTTACTATTGTCAAACATTCTAGTCTTCATACAAAATGTCCCCTCTTTTCAGTTATTGGCTCTTATCAGCTTTTTTAACCTTTCTTTTAACTTGACGAAAAAGGAGGGATGGGAAAACACTTAATGTCTTTACCAGGTATCTTGTGACTCTATGCTCAAAAAGTCACACTAGATTGATATGCTGAGATGCTTTTGACACTGAATATTTTGAGTAAAGTTAAATAAGACTTCTGAGTTTATACTTACTACTGCACTAGAATATTTTGAATTGTATCCATCTATTATGGGTTTCTTGCTTGGCTTTCATCAATGGAATAATCTTTTTTATTATGATTAATTTTCAGTTTTACTAAACACATTTTAAAGTCTTTTTCATCATATCCCCTTCGTCTTCAAGGTGCAGTTCTCCCGATTTAGCTCTCCCCATGTGAATATCCAACTGGACCCACGACCTGTGTCTGCCAGTGTGGTGTTACTTGATTCTACACAAAGGGATGGAGCCCTGCTAATGGCCACAGGAAACAAGGTGGGATGCAAGTTCTGCTTAGATTTAATCTTTGTAGATTCTTTTAAAAAAGATGACAAAAACTTATCTCAATTAGCAATGGAGTTGAGTCATAAGATACTTATGTTCATAGATTCTGCTAATTTTTAATCCAAATATTTTTTGGTTTCGGCTTGTCTTCCATTGTTGCCTAAAAGGAAACAATTAATTTCTCAGGCAGAATAGTGCCTCATTTGTGTGTTTGATTGCCTGTTGGGGTTTACTTAATACTTAATTCTGTTCACTTTCTAGATCAGTAAAATACCACTCATTGGCCCTGGCTGTGATCAGCTGACCAGCTGTCCATCGTGTTTGCTGTCATCAAGGGTGACAGGGTGTGGTTGGTGTGATGGACGATGCACCAGAAAGCATCAGTGTCCCTCCTCCTCTGAGTGGACTCAAGACTACTGCACACCCGTCATCACAACAGTAAACACAATTACCTTTCTCAATGAACATTTCCAGAAACACATCATAATGTTGTCATTTATTCCTCTTCAGCCACTGTCATGATTTGGACAGTCAGATTATTCATTATTAAAACTAATTATTCTTTTTTTTTTTTTTTAAACGTCTATATGTGCTCTTTCTACACGGCAAATAACCTGAAAACCTAAAAGCAACGTAACTTTGCTTGGCAGCTTCCTACTGATTGAGTCTACTGAGACACCATCATGCTGAGTTCGGACATTATTGTAACAGTGTCTCATTCCTCCTTCCTGCCAACACTTTCCATAACTTGTCTATAAAATATGTGATATTCATAGTTTTGCACTGTATTTGTGCAGCTGGTTAGGGCTATGGTTATAGTTATGGTCTTTCCTGAAAGGCAGACTTTTTACAGCTGTGCTCTCTACTTATTGCTGTGCCTGCTTTTTATTCCGTATAAATTTATTGTTCCACCCCATGCTGCTTGACTGTCTCCTTATAACAAAACAAACACACAGCAAATGTTAAGAAAGGGTTAGCGGGACAGAACTTGTAAATCTAGTTCTTCCTCTTACTGTTTTAGAATCAACATTGGATAGACGTTCCTTTTCAAACTTCAGTACTAAGATGTTTTCCTCCCAATCTTGTGATTTATTCTTTTCATCACATCCAATAATTTTTTAATGGTTAACTTGGTAAAAAGCTCATAAATAGATATTTGAACATTCTCTTAAAGTATTTAGCCATTAGAAATGTTGAAATATGCTAGGATCTCTCAAAACACAGAAAAAACATATCAAATGTTAAAAATTGGACTTACTATTTTTACTATTTTCCCATTTGATTTAACTAAGCAAATTAGTATAGCCATCATATTGGATGTGACCTTTTTTTTATGAATATGCCTTTCTTTGCTCATCTTGAATTTGATTGAAACTATACGTTTCAAAGAACTTGGGTGGAGGTAATAAAAGACCTGGAAAAGTTTACCGGTAAATTGGGAAATTGAAAATTGAAAATTCTTTCCCAGCAGACTTAAAAGTCATTTCATTTTGCCATTACTTCTTTTTTGCATCTACAACCAGCTAATCATTTAAAATGCCTTTTTTGTGCACAAATTAGGTGTTTCCAACCTCTGGACCAGTCAGAGGGTCTACTGTGTTGATGATTTGTGGACGCAACTTTGGCTTCGACAAGACAGAGAACTTCAAGGCCTCACTCGTCTCAGTAGAAGTGGCAGGAGCCCCTTGCAAATTGCTAAAAGATAATATCAACAAGTATGTTTGTTTGCATCTTCCTGTGAGTATGCATGTCTTTGCCTCTGACAGCAGAAACCCATTGAGTTTTGCATGTGTATGCTTTTTGAATGAGTACATTTGTTGGTATCCTGGCGTGTGTGACCAAATACTATTTTGAGGCAGTGAGGGACAAAGTTTTTGTAAAGACGAGGATCTTGAGAAGATCTGTACACTGGTATCCTTAGAGGAACAGGTTTAATAGGAGTTATTGTACTACAGGGAGATTGTTAAGTAGCAGCCCTCCTTCTCTCTTTTTGCTACAGCCTGCCAATTTTAACACATGACTATTTTAACTGATAAATTGCTGGGAAAAATGGCTGAATTCAAACTTTCCATTCCACTATGGCCATGCTTAATTCAAAATCTGTTTTTTTGCCGCAAACAACCTCATTACAAGCCGACGGAACAAAATTAAAAGCAATGCCCACAAAGTCCCAGAAGAAGATGTTGTCTTCTGTGCATTCCTGCAGGGTAGTGCATAATCATTAAATTAGCTTAAATGCTGGGAGCTGTGAGAGGGTATAATGCCTGGTTTGTGTATTGTTTGGGGGGTCGTTGTAGATGGACTGAGATCCAGTGTTCCCCGGTCTTCAGTGGGAACTTCACCCCGTCCGGACATACAGTGAAGGTCACCAGTGGTCACAAAGAAGAAGAGATAGAAGGTTTCACATTTGTGGTAAGAAGTGAAGTGTTTTTATTTAATCCACCCCCCCCCCTTTTCTGGATCAAGATTATTTTCTTTCATAATTCTTTTTACAATTCTATGCTTCTTTTCTGTCAAAATAAAAAGATCAATTAAACCTGCTTACTGAAATACTCTAATTCTCAGAATACATTTTCCACAGTATTGAAAATGTCATTCCTTGTCTTAAATCTGTTTTACACTGGATATTGAGATTCACCATTAAAATGATTGACGCTTTATAAGACGGGACTGCATTGAAGTCAAAAATCTGGGAAAAACACATATTACCTTTTTCAAGACAAGTGCCATTTGTGATTCTTTAATGGAGGAAGTTTGGAAACACCAGACATTGTGTTTCTGACTGCTAAGTCAGATACAGGAGGACTAAGTGATCTGGAAACAAATGACTTAAGCCTGATAGTTAACCAGCTAAACTGATGGTGACAATAGATAATACCCATCATTTATCAAGTTATTATGGTCAGGAGAGTTATTTTCTCATTGTGAGAATGCCTTAAAGCTGTTTCAACAAGTGAGGCATCAGATTGTTCAGCTTTGTTTCAGCACATAGCTGCTATGTCTTTTGGTATGGATATCTTTTCAACTTTTTAAATCATTCAACTTTTTTAGGATTTTTTTACTATCAATGAAATTAATGGAGAATCCTTCAAAATGTATGACCTCTTTCATCTCTAACTACTTCAGCATACTTTCAGTTAGAAACTCCATACAACTTTTAAATGGGTCTCAGGGCATCCAGCGATCACCAAATTCTATTCATTCGTTGATAAAAATATCCATCCATCTTCTTCCGCCTATTTGGGGTCGGGTCACGGGTCCAGCAGGCCAAGTAGGGAAGCCCAGACTTGGGATCCGGGGCCAGTTGAGAGACATAGTCCCTCCAGCATGCCCTGGTTCTTCCGCAGGGTCTGCTCCTGATAGGACATTCTTTGAACAGTTCACCATGGAGGCATGTAGGAGGTACTCTTGTTGGGGATGAGGCACTCTTGTTGGTCAAGAGCTCACAGCTCTTTACTATAGGTGAGGAAAGGAATGTAGATTGACCTGTAAATCAAGAGCTTGGCCTTTTGGCTCATCTCCTTTTTCACCACAACGGACCGATGTAGAGTCTGCAACAGTGCAGAAATGGCACCGATCCACCTGTCAATTTCTCGCTCCGTCCGTCCCTCACTCATCACAACACCCTGATACTTGAACTCCTCCGTCCGGGGCAGGACCTTATTCCCAACCCAAAGAGGACATTCCACCCTTTTCAGGCTAAGAACCATGGTCTCAGAATTGGAGGTACTGATTCTCATTCAAACCGCTTCACATTCAGCTGCAAATCTCTCTAGGAAGAGCTGGAGATCTTGGCCCGATGAAGCCAACAGAACTACATCCTGAGGCCACCAAACTGGATCCCTTCAGCGCCTCTTCCATCAAAGTTATAAACAGAATCGGCGACAAAAGACAGCCTCGGTGGCAGCCCTCTTCTTAAAAAGGGAAACCTCCACAGACCACCAACTAAGACAGCCCTAGAGCAATCGGGGCCTTAAGGAATTCTGGGCGGAACTTGTCTACCCCCAGGGCTCTGCCACTGATCAGCAACATGAGCCCCAGTGATAGGAGAGCCCATACCAATTTTTTAAAACATGGACATGACAATTTAAAAATAATTTTTTGAAATGTTGCTTATTTCACATTTTACAATGTATGTATTTGGGAATAATTTGGAGTCCACTGATAAAAGGAGTCATCTGACACACCTTTGCTCCTGCTGCACATTTCACAAGTCAAACAAATCTTCAAACAGTTTATTCCTAGATCCTTCAGTTTACATATAGAAATTATACTTTAAAATGTAGGTAACCTTGGCCTCTTTTAGCTAATGTAACTATCAAGGCGGCAAACAGTGGAAGAGGACGTAAAAGTGGCATGTTTTTAGATCACTCCCTCCATTTGCAAATGAAAGCCATTATCATGTTCCTGAATTCCTCCTGGTGCTGAGGGTTTAAATGGGTTTATTTTTTTCAGATTTGACTCATAGTTTTTGAATAGCGACCATTAGTTTGGCTTGAACCTTCCATGAAAACTGACATTGATCCGTCTATGACTCAGATAGTAAAGCACCTGAGGCTGCTGAGAATAGAAGGGAGAGGCTGCTTGCCCCTGTTTGTAAGCTGAGCTAATTCTTTTGTGATTCTCAGCTTATTTTCAAAAGCTTCATATTATTTAACTATTGCTCTTCAACTCTCATATTTCATAGTGATTTTTAAGTTTCTTGGGCATCTTCTGGTATGTTCATTCAGTGTCAGTGGTCATTCTCACTGCTGTTTCTCATGAAAAGCTTTTTCAAATTTTAACATTGAAACTGCATCCATCTGAAAATTTGGAGTAAGACTATGAGAAGAAATGCCATGCATTTAATGGAAACAATGATTGTGAAATTTGAAACAAGCTACGGAGAATCACTAATCTATCTCTAAAGTCCAACGTGATAATTGCAACATCATACCATGAGAATGTTCTACAACAAGGTTTGGGAAAATAGTCTGGTTAGGAAAAAGGCTGAATAAAGAAAATATAGATAGGACTGATGTAAATCTTCTCAAAATTTTTTAAGCTAGCACGTTATGAATGTTTTCATTTCAACAAACCAACAACCATAAACATAGTCCCAAAAAATGTGACAGTGAGTTCAGAAAATCTGTTAAGTCTTTGAGTGAATTGGTAGGAGTGTTGAATCACCTGGTTTTGGATAACTATATAACTATTAATAAAAAAGATTGTGAGAAACTTCCAAGTAAAACGTTTCCAAAGTTAGTGCACTGCTGAACATAATAATGATTTGTAATTTATCTTTTCTTTTTTTTGCCAGTTTTAACATGGAAAAGTCTTACTTTTAAAAACATAATGTTTATGAAATTATCTTTTTGTCCAAAAAGGAACCGAAAATAAAAGAAATCTTTCCAACTTTTGGGCCAAAATCTGGAAATACCATGTTGACCATTCGAGGATCCTTCCTAGATGCCGGAAACAAACAAGAGGTGACTGTAGGAAAGTCCATCTGTAAGATCCAGAGGTTAGTATAGACCCTTTCTGTCTTCCTGAGAGTTAATGTATGTGCCTCTTATTTTCTTCAAAAGGAATATAAAGTTGTGCACCATCATTATATATCTGCTTTGAAGGGATTAATTATATGCAATATAATTAATTGTACAATACAATTGTCAAATATCTTACATTGTGTATAGCCAGAAAACAATATGTCAATGTTGGTCTTTATTCCCTTATCCTTGTCTCCATCATCAGCTTGTCATCTACCATGCTGATCTGTAAGACGCCGCCACAAGCTGTTCTCTCAGAGCAGCCTGTAAAGCTAACTGTGGACTCAGTTGAATGCCCTGCCCCCATGATGTTCACCTACAACCAAGATCCTATCATCAACAGCATCCAGCCCTCACGGTCCTTTGTGAGGTTAGACTAGTACACAAATTGCACAATATCCATTAACGTGTTTAATTTTATGTTCCAAGAGTGTCAATATGTCAATGGCCAACACTGCAGCACCCACACAGCTGTTTTTATTTTTTATTTTCAGTGGTGGTAGTGGTGGGGGCCATTGGTTTCACTATCATTCTTTGTGAAAATCACCTCAGCTAATCTTAATTTTTTTGTGGTTCACACCATGCAGGTGTCTTTGATGAAAATGCTGATGTCTGCTTTTGTCCCCCTCACTGTAGTGGAGGTTGCACTGTATCTGCTCATGGCTTCTTCCTTCAATCTGGCCTACAGCCTCTGATGGTTCTCAGCACCGGTCAGGATGCTGCAGTCTTCCATGTGGTGGGTATCAGTTTGGTTCTGTACATCAAATTGAGAAAGAAATGTTTACTGAAGATAAAAGAAAAACTTTGCATTTGTGAGTTCCTCACAAATTTAGATAAGTTAAACCCTCTTAATGAAAAGCTTCCCTCAGTCCTGTTGGAATTTAAATTTACTTATTTGTTCCTTTGCACCATTTTAAACAACAACAAAAAAGAAGGTACTCTGTGCAAGGAAAAAAAAGAAAGGAAAAACAACCCAGTGAAGAGTTCACGTCTAAAACGTTTAAATAAAAATTTGACTTTTTTTATAAAAGATATTAACTTCCTTAAAATGTAATGGTATCACATATAAAACAAATCAAGAGTGGTGCATGAAAATTTTATCCACCCATACATTTTCTAAACTCTAAACATCATGCCCTTTTTTTTTCAGAAAACTGATTTATGGACAAATCATAAAATAAAATAAAATATCATATAGATATGATATAATATTCTTTTTTGAAGTTACTGAGCAGGCTTTTTTTTACATCACAACTTCTTATCGCTATCAGTATTTCCCATTAAGATAGGTATCAGTATTTGCCATTAAGATAGGACTTTTGTTTTGTTTGTTTATTTCTTGCTTTCTTCACTTAATCTGCATTTCCAGAGCAATATAGTGAGAAATAGAAAACAAAGTTATGCTGACTACTTTCACAGTTTTTTTTAAAGGAGAACCATGAATAATAAAAGTGATCATGCTTGCTTTTAAGAGATATTTCGGTTCTTCCTTATGAGGTCCATACCTGCCCATCTACTTTATAGCACCTGTTCAAACATTACACTGACATCACAAATAAAGCCATTGTTCCACTCTTGTATTGTTTGACATCCAGTAGAAAGGCAAATATAAATATCCCAAATGTATTTACATTTGAATTCTAGTTTAATTTGTTTTTGTAGTTCAGGTGAGGCTTTTCACATGCTGGACTGATTCAGTTGAATAAATACCGAGTAGTGATAGCCTAAGTTGTATGGCAGACAGAGTGGGAAAATAAACATTTCCTTACCACAAAGTCATATGGATGGTAATGTCATTATAAATGCTTACTCCTTGCTATTAGAGGAAAAAGAATTCTTGACAGTATGAACGAGCTACAGTTTCAGACCTAGATGAGAAAAAGGGAAATGGAAAAGCCACGGTATTATATGTAGGATCCAACTGTCACCTCTTAGGATGCTCTGGCTCTCCACACCCCTGTAAAAAGCATAGCAAAGTGTGTAATTAATATAGAATGTCACCCAGGCCAATGTGATTATAGTTTAAAAGCATGTACTGCATAATATATGTCATTATTATTATCATTATTATTAGTAGTAGTAGTAGTAGTTAGTAGTAGTATTAGTAGTAGTAGTAGTCGTAGTAGTAGTAGTAGTAGTAGTAGTAGAAGTAGTGTTATCATTATCTTTATTTTGGAGGGTATTGCTTAGGCTACCTCGTTTTAGAAAATTCAGTATAGAAGATGCAGTGTCTGTAAGGACACCTAAATGAGGACAGGAAAATCTTTCTTTGCTCGTTGCGGTGATTTACTGAAATTTACAACTGTAACAGTTTCTGAAAATAATAACAGTAAAGCCTGACCTACCTTATCTTTCTATCACTGTGTTCTATGTAAACTTGAAATTATCCGCAGCTCTTTCTCTGCATAGGAATAACATAAACAAATCAACAAAGATGCATATTTATCGTAATACAGTGTTAATTGGTCCAATACGGCTACACTGGTTAAATTTCACATTATAGTTTTCTTCTAGGTTTAACACCAGACAGTGTTAAAGTGCTGATGTGTAGTGATGCAAATGGAAGTGCACAAAATTAAATGCAACGTTAAAAGTCAATCTAAACAACACTCAATTTGCGTATTAGCGCTTGGAGCATTCCAGTAAACCGGGTCCAAAAGGAGGGGTCAACTTTAGATCCAAGGATAGTCCTACAAGGTATCCACCGAACTATGGACCAGGCGTGGTGTGGTTAAAACGTTCACCTCCAACACCTTCAAAATAATAGCCTTTTATTTTTTTATTATTATTATTATTATTCCAAAATTAGCACTATGTTATTGGTCAATACAAAAGTATGTGTAGACATTTTCAAACATATGTTACAGTTTATCTTTGGATTAAGGAAATTATATCTTGTTATAGCAGTTTTAAGAGACAGACAAACAATTATTGTTAATCAATATAGACATTTATATGGGCTAATGCAACGGGAATGGTTTACTTTTGGAATTTCAATACGATTATCTGGTTGATATGCAAGTTTCACTTGAACAAGAAGACCTCCAATGCATAACTCAGACTTGACATATGGGGAGGAGAAAAAACAACATGCCTTTGGCCATCTCTGTGCTGTCTCAGCAGAGTTTTAACGTAACAGACATAAAAGACTCAACACCGTCCCGAGTAATAATGCTGACCAGAAATCCACTCAACTCAGCCTTCTGACATTTTGATACACAGTTATACAAATTTTTCTTCTTTTCAGACATTAAAAAGCAAAAATACTTTATCACTACATTATTCTTCATTGAATAAGCACAGAACATTCATAAAAACATCTGTGACTTTATTAATTATTATTTTTTTCCTAGTACGGGGCAATTACACATATCTTAAGACACATTGTGTTAAAATGTACCTGATTCCTGGTAAGTCATGAACACATAGGAAAAATATGTCATTGGTTGATGGATGTTTGCCATAAGACAGCAAATTGAGAACAAGCAATAATAAATATATCTGCCATCCAGGGGCACATGCTGATTCAGTTCAGTCAGGAGATGATAATTTGCTCAGTAAACACACAAGTACACGACAAATACTTCCATTCCAAAAAACACTCCCAATTCAAACATTTTTCAGAAAATATGACTTTAACTTTAGTCTTTCATTGTATGCACATTTATGCACGCACACATGAAGATTACCCTCTGTCTCATCTTTCACTTTCCCTTTTTCTGGTAATTGACCTATGTTCAGGTCAGTGGTTGATGACCCTTCATAGTGCTCAGGTTTCTTTGCACACAACCAGTTAGAGTAGATGGAGGTTAAAGACTGAGATCTCGTTTATACTCGAAAAATCAGGTTTATTCCCCTCCAGGTGTTTTATTAATGCTTCTTTGATTAATCAATTTCCAACTGTTCTAGTTGAGTTATTTGAGAGACATCAGCAACAGCACTTTAATATGTCTGCAAAGTAATGTGTGACTTTTTTGGAAATGAAGCAGTATGTTTAGGCAGCTCTTGGAAAATAAGGGTTAACCAAGACAGTTAAAGGTACACAGTTTTAGGGGCATAGAACATTGTTTATATTGAATTCATTATGCCACAAGATCCAATATGGGGTCTCAAAATAGGAAAAGGGTTAGTTTTTGTTTTTCCCAGTGACTTTCAGAAGTCAGTTGTTCTTGGAAGTTTTACAAAACAATGTGTTGTCTTTCACACAATAGAAATTAGAATATCACTTTACTCCTAATTACAAGGAATTCTTTAAAAAAATGTCATAGTTGTGTATCGCTCTCTCATAGACAGTATAGTTTTTATAAACAGATTTTTTTCTAGTTCTAAATTACTGTGCAATGGACATTTGAATGTAACAAACAAAAACAACAAAATTGTTGCACCAGCAACCATTTTGATAAAAAATGTTGCGTCTTAAGGATGTCATCACTTAGCATGGAAATGGTCATTGACAGTTGCGATATTGTTTCTTAGTCTGTTGCTTTTTGCTATGGTCCACTGTATATTGAAGGGATGTATATGGGGATGCAAAAACATGTAAAGTGCCCCAAGAACTATGATATCTTATACTTTGCAAGTCTTGATGATTAGGGTTTTTCAAACCTGACCAAGAGACTATTCTTTGTGTGAGAGAGAAAACATGAAGTAAAGGCTTGTTTAAAATAAGTGTATTATTACTAATGATTTAAAGAGGGATCATGGTTTATAGAACTCCAGCTGTTGCTTATTCAATTCTTTCCAGTAAACGTGATTAGTTATTGCTTAGCTTAAAAAGGGACATTATTAATATCAGTTTTACCAGCACTGGTCCCAGTAGTCCACTCCCCTTAATTAAGTTAATCACTGTGCAATAATCCTTCTTTGCAATTTTCTTGTTGGTGCAATATCTCTTTATGTGCAGGTACACAGTCTGTACAGTTGAACATTCCATAGTTAAACTGCGACTTCTGTATTTTATGATCGAATTCTTTTTATCTGCTGCTCTTGAAATTCCCGAAGTCCGAGCTGAGTGTAAATGTAACGCATAGAGTTGCGGGTGAAGAGTCATGTCATGTGACGTGTGGATGCAGAGGTGGGTTGGGAGAGAAGAAGAATGTCAGCGTGGGTTTCAGGCCTTGTTAATTCGACTAGTGGCAGATTGGAAAAAACTGTTCTTGTAGTGTGATGTTTTGGTCCGGGTGGACCCAAAGCCTATTTCTTCAGCTGAAGCAGGAAGTACATTCTCCGCTGGGCTTTCTTGAAGAAAGAGCTGATGTTAAGCTCCCACTTGAAGTTATGTGAGATGACGGTTCCCAGGAAGCATTAAGAGTCGACGGTGTTAATTGTAGAGTCAGTTGGTATCTTCCTGAGGTCCACAACCATCTCCACTGTCCTTAGAGCTTAGAGCTTTAGGTTATTTTGACTGCACCAGTTCACCAGATCGTCAACCTCCCACCTGTAGGCTGACTTGTAACCATCACAGATTAGTCCAATCAGGGTGCTGTTGTCCTCAAAGTTCAAAAGCTTGACAGACTGGTGACTGGAGGTGCAGCTGTATGTGTACAGGGAGGAGAGCAGATGAGAAAGAACGCAGCCTTGGTGGGATCTGGAGCTGATGGTCAGAGAGTCAGAGACATGTTTCCCCAGCTTGACACGCTGTTTCCTGTCAGACAGGATGTCAGTGATCCACCTGCAGATGGAGTCGCTCACACTCACCTGGGAGAGCTTGTGCTTGAGTAGAGCTGGCAGAGCTGAAGCCCACAAACAGGATCTTGGCATAGGTTCCTGTGGAGTCCAGGTGCCGAAGGATGAAGTGAAGAGCTAGGTTGATTTACAAACCTGTAGGCTCTGTAGGCATATTACCGGGGGTCCAGGAGGGAGTTGGTGATGTCTTTCAGGCATGAAGCAGGCTGACACATGACATGTCTCCCATAAGGTGTTTAAAATGTCTGTGAACACTGGAGACAGCTGATCAGCGCAGTGCCTCAAGTGGGCTGGTGAGACAAAATCCGAAACAGCAGCTTTCGGGGGGTATCTGTCTCCTGAGGAGTTGTTGACAGTGTTCACATCCCACTCTTGAATGGAAAGAAACGTCGCAGTACGTAGGGGGGGTACGGTAGGGGGGCTGTATCCTGTTTTCTGAACCCTTCAAAACAGTAGCGATGATTTCTCACAAACCAACATCGGAAAGGTTTCTATCCTGACCAGACCGGGTAATGTGAGCCAGCTTGTCATCCCTTCAAAGTGATGCTCATAAACAGAAATGTAGGACACATGATAAATCTCCAAGTGAACATTGTTTAGGATTAACATTGGCAGTGTCCAGAATGTGTCAGAGAATTAGACCAGCACCTATGAAATGTTCGCACCAAGGCCGGGAGAAGAAAACCAAAAACTATTAAAAAATACCAACAGAGGTTCAAAGTCTATGCCAAAGCACAACATAAAAAAATAGTGTTGACTTGATATCTATCCTTTAGATCTCCAGCAAAGCCTGGTCTCAGGCAATCTCGGCTTCCCACAAATATGAAAGAGATTTTGGTTACAATCTGTCATGAAAACCTGCGTGGTCACATTGCCAAAGGAACCTACATATACACACAACACTAGTGGTCTTTGAATTTTACCATGGCAGCAGTGCTATCCTTTCCTAGCACACTTGTCCAGTGGATTTCGTGATGCAGGCTTTGCTTTAAAGGGCTGCATCAGGACAGATATTTAAATTTAGCAGGCAGTTTCACCATGTCCATTGACACCTGTCACCTGAACTCACGAATTGGTTTGTTTTGTGTCTGTCTCCTCTTCCTATCTACTCCCTGAAGACTAAATCTTTCCAGCTGGAATTTCAATGCCTTGTAAAGCTACTTTCCTTTCCCATACACCCAACACCTGGAAGGTTGCCTTTGAGCAGGAAATCATTGAAGGTGAAAGAGTAATATAGCTTCCAGTCGAGGTGATTCCAAGCCAGAAGAACTGTTGACTGAGGTTTAGAGTTTGGATGAAAGTAGGTCATTTGTTTAACTTTAAAACATGACATTCTCTTCTAAGGAAAAAGTGGGAATTTGTTCCGTTTGCACTTACAAAACAACAGACATAAGTTGATTATTCATTCATTTCCTTTCATTTATCAAATTCAAAATGTTTTAGCGTTGTGTTTTAGTTACTGAAAACATAATCAGGAAAGGTGTAGGAGGAAAGTTGGGTATCATTGTGTCAGATGTGTCCTGAAAAATCATGGTTAATCTTCAGGTTTTTGAGATTCTCTCAATTGTCACAAAATCAAAATTGTAAGCGAATGCATGTTGTCAATATTCACACTGTCCATTAATCACAAAGGTACGATACTTCGGACCCTTAGCATCCTTAGTTGCATCGACGGGGGTCTAATTAAATCTTTTTTGCTTCAGAAAATTCCTATCTGAGTGCACCAACTGGAAGAATTGACGTAACGTTTTTTGTCAATGCAGTTGTTTTCATCTAAATACTAAGGAGTTTAATTCTTTAATCCATTCATGAGCACAGGGCTTTCGATTTTTTCACATTTTTTCCTTTTCTTTGAAACAATAACCTTGATGATGAAATAATATATGTGGAATTTGTTATTATACCAATATGGTACATTTGATTAAACCTTCGTATACCAATATGAAAAGGTTGCAATCAAGAGAGCATCTAATGTACTATTTGTTCAATATCCCCAAAACACTTATGGCTTCGGTGATCCTGGTGCATGTAGGACATTAATGTTATGTGGTTGGATTTTGAATGTAGCTCTGTAGCTATTAAGTATTTATCCTGTTATCTCAATTATTGTCATGAAATTTTTAAGTCAAGGTCAAGGAAATTAAGCCGAAGATTAAAGAAATTAATCTAACTAATTAAGTAATTAATTAGTCACTATATTCACAAGCTCTCATTCTGCTTGTAGAAAATTCTGCTATGTAATTCAGTTTGATTTTTATAGCGCCAAATAACAACAACACAGCGCTTTCCAAACAGAATAGGTCAGCCCCTACTATGAATTTATTTACAGAAGCCCAACAATTCCACCAAGAGCATGCACTAGGCGACGCAGGCAAGGAAAAACTTCCTTTTAAGAGGCAGAAACCTCGAGCAGAACCATGGCTCAGGGTGGGCGGCCATCTGACTCGGCCGGTTGGGGATCCAGATCCAGACTCCACAGTTCCATGAACACCTGCAGGAAGTGATAGGAGGAGAGAGGAGAGGGACGAGAAAGCACACGGCTACGGGAAAGGGAAAAAGTCCAGTTAGTAACATGCATTAATGGAATGAGGTTGCACTGAGAAGAAGAGAGAAAAAGGAGAGGGAGGAAGGAGAGGGGAGCTCAGTGCATCATGGGAAAAGTCTTACCCTAACTATAATTTCTATCTTAAAGGAAAGTCTTAAGCCTACTCTTAAATGTAGAGATGGTATGCCTCCCGGACCCAAACTGGAACCTGGTTCCACAGGAGAGGACTTGATAGCTGAACACTCTGGCTCCCATTTTACTTTTGAAGACTCTAGGAACCACAAGTTACCCTGCATTCTTGGAGCGCAGTGCTCTGGTAGGGCAGTAAGGTACTATGAGCTCTTTAAGATAAGATGGTGCCTGACCATGAAGATCTTTGTATGTAAGAAGAAGGATTTTTATTTATATTCAGAATTTTACAGGAAGCCAATGCAGAGAAGCCAAGACAGGAGAAATATGATCTTTTTTACTGGTTCCTGTCAGAACACGTGCTGCACCATTTTGGATCAGCTGAAGAGTCTTAATGGACTTTTTCGAAGAGACTGATAATAGAGAATTGCAGTAATCCAGCCTAGAAGTGACAAATGCATGGACTAGTTTTTCTGCATCATTTTTACACAGGCTGCTCCAGATTTTTTCTAAATTACGTAGCTGAAAGAAGGCGGTTCTTAAAATTTGTTTAATGTGAGAGTTTAACGACATGTCCTGATCAAAGATAACTCCAAGATTTCTCGCAGATATGTAGACAGTTCATTCAATCAGATTGTGTGTGCTTGTAAATCTCTGTTAAAACACTTTCCACAGACAATATTTTCTACATTAAAAACAAAATACACTGTTTATAAATCTGGTAAGCTTTTTCCTAAATCTAGGGGTTGTTTTGTACAGCTGCTCCATCAGAATGCAGTTTAGTTCCATGATGGATTAAAGGCTTACCATTGTAAAATTATATTGACATTTATACTCATTTACATTTATGCATTGAGCAGATGCTTTTATCCAAAGCGAATTACAAAAAGAGGGTTTAACATACAAGTACAACACCAGTTACAGAAATACCTTACCTTGAGTGAAATATGCTGGCATAGGATTCAACATTGTGGCCAAGACAAGTGATACTCTCGGAAGAGCTGGGTCTTCAAGGATTTCTTGAAGGAGAAAAGAGATTCTGATGCTCTGTTAGTGCTTGTAAGGTCCAGAGTATTAATACTCACAGATTCATACTCAATAACTTACAATCAGGTCTGTCAGATTAATCCCATGAATAAGAAATAAAAGAAGGTTGCACTTGTATCAATCACTCATGTTTGACAAGCACATTTGTATGGTGGGAGCTCATGACTTGGCTTTTTTACATACTGTTCCCATGAACGATCCTTTAGAGATGGTGAAGATTTCGGGATGGCTGCTTCTCTCATCACCCCACAGTAAACCTCTCAGCTTTCTGGCTGCCCCTCTCATGCAGCGATTGTATTTACAGCTGCTCCCACCTATAGCCCCTCACCTCCTTTCACTAAATGAGAGGAGACATCGACTGAACAATGAAACTGACTGAGGTTTCCTTTAATTCAATGGGTATTTTTCCTTATGCTGCACCCACTTGGAAGTTGTATGTGTGGGAAGATGGCAGGGGTTCCTACGCAGCCCAGTTCTATTTGTTCCTTTTTGAAGAGAGGGGAATATATTGGATGTTTTTTGTTAAATAACTTACTGACCTGATATATTAACCTAATAACTACAATTTTAATGCTTGTATGTGGTCTTAAAGCTGTTCTGTTTTACAGTCTTGAGGTTTCTGTTTCTCTAACCCAGGGGTGTCAAACTCCATTCCTCGAGGGCCGCTGTCCTGCAGGTTTTAGAGGTAACCCTTTTTCAACACACCTGATTTACATCAAAGGGCCATTAGACAGGTGCAAAGCCCAACAATGTCCAGAGGAGATCCAATTTAATAAGAATCAGGTGTGTCGAAGCAGGAAAATGTCTAAAACCTGCAGGACAGCGGCCCTCGAGGACTGGATTCTGACACCCCTGCTCTAACCATTCAAGTCTCTTTGTTGTGGCAAACGCTTCTCCTCCTCAGATCTGTGTCTATGGTGAAAATCGGACCTCCATCCAGTGTACCACACCATCCCTGGCAAAGCTGGCCTTGCAGCCTCCGGTGGTCACCAAGGTTGCGTTTGTTCTGGATGGCTACTTGACAGAGCAGTGGGACCTGATTTATGTTGAGGACCCTCTTTTCCAGGACCCAAAGCTCACCTCCAAGGACAACAAGAGTATTGTGGAGCTCAAAGTAAGGGTGCTTGCTTGTACATTTAAACAGCAACATCTGTTATATATAGTTTAGTAGTCTGCTATGTTGCAAGAGAGACACTGGCAAAACTCAGGAAAGGTCCAGAAAATCCTATTGTTTGTGGACGTGCAGTGAGAAAACCTTGACTATTGAGTTGTAACAGAAAGAACAAGAAAGTAGCATGAATAAAAACCAAACAAAAATGTAAAGTTTTTCAGTAATAGACTTGGCTAATCTTTACTACTCCTAGTTTGCTTTGTCTTTCTTTTGAGCCAGGTGGAAGTTCATGTCCGCTGGTCGGAACACTTCACCTCATATTCCTCACACATTCGCGCATATAGCTGACAAGAGTCCAGGTCAGGCTAGGAAGGAAACAATACAGAAAGAAAAACAGGATGTGAAGTCTGTTTCCCATCTTGTACACGCTACATCCCAACCTCCCAGTCGTTCCTTCACTGCTATACCTCTCTATGTACACTCTCTGTTGACTTGTATTGTTCTTTCTGAGGTCAAAGCTCTTGACATATTAATGCCACTTTTGAAATAAGTAACACAATGAAAAACATATTTCATCCATTTTTCTTTTTTTCTATTTTACTGCAACAGTTTGTGGCAGCTGCTCTAAACTTCACGCAAGGGATCTTGGCTTTTTTCTCAGACATGACCTTGACCCCAACTTTAAACCCACCAGAAGCCCAACATCCATCCCCCTCCTTCATTCCTTCTTTCGGCCAGACAAATCTCCTGTTTTTACTCGAGGGAGGGCTTGGCAGAGGCATCACACCAGAACAGGCCACTTTTTATGCCATTTGATAACCCTGCTCTGCAATAGCTTCTGAATGCTGGGCACATTTAGTACTATCTGATAAGATGAGCTCCTAAGATTAAGCAAACAGCCAAACACAAGGATATTTACCTCTAACTGACAACTCTACACCACATGAAAAGCAGAAGCTGTTGGTTTTGGCTTAGAGTCAGGTTCTTATCACTGTCGGGAGAATGAAAATAACTTCCAATTATTATTCTGACAGTTTATCTTATGGTTTTTACTGTGACACATTTTGGTAACTTAAGCTCCTCCCTACATTCTGCATGCTATTTCTGCTTGCACAGATGGGAAATACACAAGATTGTGTTTGTTTGATAAATGTGCTTTGTTTCTTTGTGCAGCTTAATTGCAAGCAGAAGTGTGTGAATTAGTAAGTAGTCCTGTAGTGTGTGTGAGCTGAGAAAGGGCTGTGTGTTTGTGTGAGAGCAAAAATGTGCGTGTACGGGAACAGGTGTGAGGCACCACTCTGTGTCAAATTGGAAAATCCCAAACTGTCACGCAAGGAATGTGATCATTCTCTTTATTGCCCTCTGCTACACTCAAACAAGCCTGTGTGTACATGTGTATGTGTGTGTGCACGAGGGAGAGTGAGAAGTTGAATAAGTGAAACAAAGAAAATGACAGAAAGAAGAGAGTTGGAGAGCTGAAAGCAAAGAAAAAAACAATTAGGCTTTTAAACAACTTCCCTATGAACTGTGATAAATACACTCTCTCGTTCAACAACCCACACCCATCTTGCCTGCAGTTTTGTGTGCTTAAAGTCAGATCTCAGAAGGGGTGTTTGTTCTTGGCCTGCTAGGAGTCACATAACTGGAAAAGGCTGCTCTGTTGAACTCATAAGAAGTGTAGTTCCTGTTTTAGTCATGGTGATAATATCCACCATGCTTTTAAAATTTGCAATTAGATATTTCAACATTGATGAATAGTGGAATGCATGCAATGAGTGCTTTGTATGGAATATATATTTAAAATATATAGATATTTTTAGCTACGATTCTCATCATGCCACATGAACTTATCCTACTGAGAAAAGATGAGTTTGGATATTTTTTATTTCTGCTCAACACAAAGAACTGTTTTGTTAAGCTACGTTTTGTTAAGTTCCAATAGATATAGGCTGAGGTGCAAATACACTGCAAATGGCACATTGTTGAAGTTTTTTTAGGCATATGGAGGTTTGGCTAAAACATATTTCACACACATGTCAGTTACCAGCAGGGACCTTTGATAGCAGAAACATAACTGGGATTTCAATTTTAATAAAATTTGACAATTATTAAAACTGTCTGCTAGTTTGAGTTTCAAAGCAAACGTGAACAAAATGTCTTTCTTTAGCAGCCTAATCAAAGCATGTGGCATTGCATATCTTTAGCCTCAGTTCTTGTTTACCTCTACCCATCTGTCTTCTCTTTTGCTTTTCTTCTGTCTTCTCAACTGGTTAATCCCTGTATCTCACTCTGACTCTCTATCCCTAACTCTTTTGTGCTGTAGGGTGATCGGATGGACAAGGAGGCAATGAAGTGTCAGGTCCTGACCGTTTCCAACCACAGCTGTGAAAGTCTGATTCTGGTTGAAAACACCCTTGAGTGTACTGTTCCCACTGAGTTGCAAATGACCACTGCCACGGAGCTGCAGGTGGAGGTGAGATACACTCTCAATATACAGACACAGGACATGAGCAGTGTTCAGATTCTTGCATGTCTCCATCATAAGTTCACCGGCCGGGACTCTTTTATTAAGATAGCCTTTAATTTGGTCAAACTCATCAAACGCCCCAAACATGCACACAAGTCCACTCCAACCACAGGTTATATCTGTATGTCATATGTTCCATTCAATGGAGATTTTGTTCCTGTGGTTCAAAATACTCCTGTGTATGTGTAAAGTGATACTGTGATGTCAATACACACCGTATTGTGTTAACATGCGAGAAACAAAATAAAAAAACAAAGGTCCCAATAGGACTGTCCAGGGTGTACCCTGCCTCTCGCCCGTTGACCACTGGGATAGGCACCAGTTCCATCCGCGACCCCATGAGGGAATAAGCGGTATTGATAATGGATGGATGGATGGAGGTCCCAATAGGGACGTGTAGAGTTGGCAGTCATGATGCCTGCGCACTATTTTCAAAACTATCTACCACTCAGCATGTTGCACCATCAAAAGTCATAGTTTCCTAGATGTTAAATTGTATTTGTCAAACCTAACAACCACTGACTTCTGAGTTTTTTAAAACTGTCTCTTGCAGTATCAATTTATTTGTTCTTAAGTATGGAATAATGAATCATACATGCTCTGTTTAATGTATTTCAAAACCATGCACAGATCCATTGTTCTCATCCAGTCTCATTCTCGAAAATACCTTGTGAATATCCAACATTATTATAACTTGCTTAATGATAACTATATATGCATATTTTTGTAATAAATGCAAAAATATTAGTCATTATTTTTGCTAACCTTAGTTCTCTGAGTAAAAATGTATATTTGCACACAGATTGAAAATCAAACTGATAGTCTATGTCAAAATACTCATAATGCATTTATATGAAAAAACACCACTGTTGATACTATCAAGCTTAAAACTGACTTTCAGCTATAAATGCTCTCACCATTTATTTTTACAGCACCCATATCTTCATGGCAAAGAGGCAGACCTGCCACATAGAAGTATAATACACTCTGATAAAAGATGGATATTTTTAGTGCTTCCTTTTTAGTTATCGTGGCTATGTTTTGTAGATTTAATTTAATGGTACTTGTTTATAGTATCTATTTCTGGTTTCCTTAATTCCATATCTATTCAAAATGTACTATGATGAGAGTAAAGTAAAGACAAAAACACCAAAATAGATTGAAACAAACCAAGTCAGTAACAACTGACTGGAAATAACCACATTCCTTAAATGTTCCAGATAATTTGCAACAAAAAAAATTCAAAAACTCCCCTGTATTGATGTAGTCTTTCATGACAAGTAGCTCAGGGACACTTTCAAAGTGTGGTGCGTGAATGGGCTCAGCAACTCGTAACTTAAAGGTAAAGCCAAACAACTCCTATTTTCAGGAAGGGGGTGTGCAAGAAGGAAATATTATGGGAGTACCCATTTCAACACTACATACATCCATCCATCCATCCATTCTCCTCCGCTTATCCGGGGTCGGGTCGCGGGGGCAGCAGCCGGAGCAGGGAAATCCCTTCCCTCTCCCCGGCCACTTCGGCCAGCTCCTCCGGGGGGATCCCGAGGCGTTCCCAGGCCAGCCGGGACACATAGTCCCTCCAGCGGGTCCTGGGTCTTCCTCTGGGCCTTCTCCCGGTGGGACGAGCCCGGAACACCTCCCCAGGGAGGCGACCAGGAGGCATCCTGATCAGATGCCCGAGCCACCTCAACTGGCTCCTCTCCACGTGGAGGAGCAGCGGCTCTACTCCGAGCCCCTCCCGGATGGCCGAGCTTCTCACCCTATCTCTAAGGGAGAGCCCAGCCACCCTGCGGAGGAAACTCATTTCGGCCGCTTGTATCCGCGATCTCGTTCTTTCGGTCACTACCCAAAGCTCGTGACCATAGACGAGGGTGGGAACGTAGATCGACCGATAAATTGAGAGCTTCGCCTTTAGGCTCAGCTCTCTCTTCATCACGACAGACCGGTACAGCGCCCGCATTACTGCAGACGCCGCACCGATCCGCCTATCGATCTCACGCTCCCTACCCCCATTCGCAAACAAGACCCCGAGATACTTGAACTCCTCCACTTGGGGAAGGACGTCCGCTCCGACCCGGAGAAGGCACTCTACCCTTTTCCGGTGAGAGACCATGGTCTCGGACTTGGAGGCACTGATCCTCATCCCAGCCGCTTCGCACTCGGCTGCAAACCGCTCCAGTGAGAGCTGTAGGTCCCGACTTGATGGAGCCAACAGGACCACATCATCTGCAAAAAGCAGAGATGCGATCCTAAGGCCACCAAGACTGACACCCTCAACACCTCGGCTGCGCCTAGAAATCCTGTCCATAAAAGTTATGAACAGGACCGGAGACATAGGGCAACCTTGGCGGAGTCCAACTCCCACCGGAAACGAGTCCGACTTACTACCGGCAATGCGAACCAGACTCTGACTCCGGTCGTACAGGGACCGAACAGCCCGTAACAAGGGGCCAGGTACCCCATACTCCCGGAGCACCCCCCACAGGATACCCCGAGGGACACGGTCGAACGCCTTCTCCAAGTCCACAAAACACATGTGGACTGGTTGAGCGAACTCCCATGCACCCTCTAGGACCCCGCTGAGGGTATAGAGCTGGTCCAGCGTTCCACGGCCAGGACGAAAACCACCCTGCTCCTCCTCGATCCGAGGCTCGACTATCCGACGGACCCTCCTCTCCAGAACCGCTGAATAGACCTTCCCAGGGAGGCTTAAGAGTGTGATCCCCCTATAGTTGGAACACACCCTTCGGTCCCCCTTTTTAAATAGGGGGACCACCACCCCAGTCTGCCAATCCAGCGGGACTGCCCCTGATGTCCACGCGATGTTGCAGAGTCGCGTTAGCCAACGCAGCCCCACAACATCCAAAGCCTTAAGGAACTCCGGCCGGATCTCATCCACCCCCGGGGCCTTGCCACCGCGGAGCTTTTTGACTGCCTCGGTGACTTCAGCCCCGGAGATTAGAGATCCAAACTCCGGATCCCGAGGCTCTGCCCCTCCAACGGAGGACGCGCCAGTGGGATTGAGGAGGTCCTCGAAGTACTCCGCCCACCGACCCACAACGTCACGAGTTGAGGTCAACAGCACACCATCCCCACTGTAAACAGTGTTGGTGGGGCACTGCTCCCCCCCCCCTGAGACGCCGGATGGTGGACCAGAATCGCCTCGAGGCCGTACGGAAGTCTTTTTCCATGGCCTCCCCAAACTCCTCCCACGCCTGGGTTTTTGCCTCGGCGACCACCCGAGCCGCACGTCGCTTGGACTGCCGGTACCCATCGGCTGCCTCCGGAGTCCCACAGGCCAAAAAGGCCCGATAGGACTCCTTCTTCAGCCTGACGGCATCCCTCACCGCCGGTGTCCACCAGCGGGTTCGAGGGTTGCCGCCACGACAGGCACCGACAGCCCTGCGACCGCAGCTCTGGGAGGCCGCGTCATTGATGGAGGCGCGGAACACGGCCCACTCGGACTCAATGTCCCCCGCCTCCCCCGGAACGTGTTCGAAGCTCTCCCGGAGGTGGGAGTTAAAGCTCCGCCTAACAGGGGACTCCGCCAGGCGCTCCCAGCAGACCCTCACAACACGTTTGGGCCTCCCGGGTCTCACCGGCATCCTCCCCCGCCATCGGAGCCAACTCACCACCAGGTAGTGGTCGGTGGAAAGCTCCGCCCCCCTCTTGGCCCGAGTGTCCAAAACATGCGGCCGCAGATCAGCTGAAACGACAACGAAGTCGATCATTGAACTGCGGCCTAGAGTGTCCTGGTGCCAGGTGCACATATGGACACTCTTATGTTTGAACATGGTGTTCGTTATGGACAATCCGTGCCGAGCACAGAAGTCCAAAAACAGAACACCGCTCGGGTTCAAGCTGGGGGGGCCATTCCTCCCAACCACGCCCCTCCAGGTCCCAATGTCGTTGCCCACGTGAGCGTTGAAGTCCCCCAGCAAAACGAGGGAGTCCCCAGAGGGGGCACCCTCCAGTACCCCCTCTAAGGACTCCAAAAAGGGTGGGTACTCTGTGCTGCCGCTAGGCGCATAGGCACAAACGACAGTCAGGACCCGTCCCCCCACCCGCAGGCGAAGGGATGCTACCCTCTCGCTCACTGGGGTAAACCCCAACGTACAGGCACCGAGATGGGGGGCAATGAGTATGCCCACTCCTGCTCGGCGCCTCTCACCGGGGGCAACTCCAGAGTAGCAAAGCGTCCAACCCCTCTCAAGAGGGCTGGTTCCAGAGCCAGAGCTGTGTGTCGAGGCGAGACCGACGATGTCCAGCCGGAATCTCTCCGCCTCGCACACTAACTCAGGCTCCTTCCCCGCCAGAGAGGTGACGTTCCACGTCCCTAGAGCCAGCTTCTGCAGCCGGGGATCAGTCCGCCAAGATCCCCGACTCCGGCCGCCGCCCAGGGCACAGCGCACCCGACCCCTATGGCCCCTCCCACGGGTGGTGGGCCCGTGCGAAGGGGGACCCATGTCTCCTCTTCGGGCTGGGCCCGGCCGGGCCCCATGGGTGAAGGCCCGGCCACCAGGCGCTCGCCATGGTGCCCCGCCCCTGGGCCTGGCTCCAGGGGGGGGGGCCCCGGTAGCCCGCGCCCGGGCGAGGGAACATTGGATCCAATTTTGTCTCTCTTCATAAGGGTCTTCTGGGCTGCGCTTCGTCTGATCCCTCACCTAGGACCTGTTTGCCTTGGGTGACCCTACCAGGGGCTTGAAGCCCCGGACAACATAGCTCCTAGGATCACTGGGACACTCAAACCCCTCCACCACGATAAGGTGGCAGCCCAGGGAGGGGCTACATACAGACTTTTCTTATTAAACAATTATGCTGTGCAGATTCTATGTAAAAACCTGTAAAGTGAAATATAACCCATATTCTCGTAGTCAGAGAAATTCTTAATTCAAGCATCTTTGTTTGATGATCCCTCTAAACAAAACAGTGAGATTATTGAAATGTTCTCAATATAAGCAAACATTAAAGCAAATATTGAATACTGAGCAACAGACTCACTCATGTCTTTCCCTGAGATAATACGTCTCCAGACCAAATGCTATCAGACTCATCACTGGTGACTTGTGAACTGAAAGCCTTTATCTCAGGGAAGGATCGGCCACATATCCTCAACCTCCAGACATGCCCAGACAGTCTAAATTACACACAAGCCCTGTTGTGTACACGTGTCATTCCAGCAACGTGATAATGACAGAAGCAATATCACTGATGTTATCTGTCCCCACATGATGCCAACAGACATTGTCTTCTTGCGTGGATGGTTGTACAAAAGCATATACCTGAATGCCAGCTTCATGCCTTCAAGTGTGACATACACAAATGGATTTTGTGTCAACAGTGGTCTAACGAAGAAAGCTGAGTAAAACATAAATAAATAATTGGAAAAAAACATTTTCATACATTTACTTTCACTTTCATTGAACAATCATTTCATTTGTTAATATTCATCCATCTTTTTATTTCTGATAAGCAATATAAGGACTGGAACCAGTGTAGAAGGAGTGTAAAAGTGTTATTTCCAAACAGATGACATTAATTACTGCAATCAATAGCAGCATCCACAACATATCCAGTGTTTGATGAGCAAGGAGAGACTTCCGTATTTTTTACTTTTGGGAAAAGCCTTGAAATATGCATGACATGTTAAAATCATTCAATGAATTTGAGAAACCTCTGTGCATTCATGACAATGGCACAAGCCTTACCTGAACAATCAAACTAACAGATATTACTGAAAGAAAGGTTTAGATTACAATGTCATCAGACTATAGACAGGCATTTACAAAATGTGAGTTGGACCATTATGCATCAAAGTATTGTCCTATGATCGGATAATTCAGTTCCAGATCAATATATATATTTTCTAGGCATGTCCATGCATTTTTGTACAAGAACCACATTCTATACACAGAAAGATGTACTGGACCAATCTACATTGTGAAATGAAATGCACAACTTTAGACACATGTGGGTAAAGATTGCTAGCAACATGTTGTGACACGTATGATAATATCACAGAATCACATGTTCTGACTTCTTCTGATTAATGTATTTGGGAAATTCTGGTGCAGATCTAAAGTGCAAAAGTGGATATACTGTTGCAAATTCAATCAATACAATAAAGTAAAAGATAAAATATAATACTGCTATCAGAGCAGTAGCTTGTGCAGTGTCAAAGTGCTGCTGCCTCATGCTTCTAGATCATAATCAGACAACTGACATCTGCTTGCAAGTTATAGTCTGCCGCTGTCATTCTTGTAGCATCTCAAGTATAATGTTGACCCAGAACTTTTAATTTTATGTAAAGGATTGTGGTGATGAATTGCATCAACTGGGATCATCTGAGGTTGAAAGGGAGATTGATAGTATTTGTGTTTTTGAATCCATCGTCCTTACCCCTTCAACACCTCAAATCCCTTCCCATTGTGCAGTGGCGCCAGGCTGACTCTATCAGGCATCTGGGCAAAGTGACACTGGCGCAGGAGCAGGACTACACAGGCCTTATCGTGGGTTGCGTGTGTGTTAGCTTGCTGCTGCTGCTACTGGGGACGCTGCTGATGTGGACAAGAAACAAACACATTGATGGTAAGAAAAGAGACGTTTGTTTGCTTTGTAAAGAGAAAGCTCCTTCAGCTCCGGCTGATGTATATAGTTAAAAAAGTTGTATCAATTAGTTACTTAACTATTTGACTATAAGTTATTGTGACTACACTACTGGAATGTGAGCTTTGAGTTGTGTTCTAACATTTGAATTTTTTTACAATCAAATTCCGTGCTTCCTTGTTTACCTGTGTGCATCTGTGCTGGGTTTGTTTTGTCTGATGGGTTAACAGGAAATTAAAATGTGGGGCGCACTGGTGGAAATGCTTTGCCTTCCTCAGTAATTCATCTGTACCTCTCTCTTTCCTTTTTTTCTGTTTCTCCTCCTTTCTACCTTCACCACGAATACTCCGTGATCCTCCGTGATCCTTCCTACTTTTTTTTAAATATTTTTACCCTCCTCTCTTTTTCCCCTCCTTTTCTCACCCTATCTTTTCACTTTATCTTGATCTCATTTTCTTTCCCCCCTCCTCATCTTTCTTTCCATATCTTACTCTGTACCACTCTATTCTCTAGATCTGTCTGAAGTGTGGTATGATGGCCGGGGTCACATCCAGCATCTGGACAGGCTGGCCAACGCAAGGAGCGTCAGCCCCACTAATGAAATGGTGTCCCATGAGTCAGTCGACTATAGAACAACCCTGCTGGAGGGTATGTCAAGCAGATAAACCTCTCCCCCTACCTACACCTGACTCGCTCACCTCTCTCTCTTAACTACGTGCTTCCCTACTTATTGGGCTTAGCGCTATTCTGGCAGGGAATTCCTTACTGTGCATGGTTTAAACTAACACCAGCAGTGCTCTAGAATTATTAGAATTTGAATATTGTGTGCCGTCCAGGGTGAATTCCGCCTCTCGCCCATTGACTACTGGGTTAGGCTGCAGTCGCCCCGCGACCCCCATTAGGGAATAAGCGGTTATAAAAAATGGATGGATGGATGGATGGATGGATGGATGGATGGATGGATGGATGGATGGAT